GTGATGTTTTTGATGTGTTTGGCATTGTGTTTTTGGTGAACTATTTTCTTTTCTCTGTGTCCAGGAACGGCCGCTGCCGGTCTGAATGGAGGTTCAGTGTCTCGCAATCTACAGCTCAGGTGGTTGGAGTCTTGAAAATACAGGTAGGTGGAGAAATGTTTAGGTGTAGTATGAGTTTAGCTGTGAAGTGTGTTCTGTTTCACTTTAGTGTGCATGTCTTCTACATTTCCAGGTACATTATTATGAGGATGGAAATGTACAGCTGGTCAGCCATAAAGATGTACAGGAAGCACTGACCGTGTCTGTAAGTAGGAAATCATTAAATAGACCTATTGGAATATATCATATGTGCTTTATGTTGAAGTGTGTTTTAAGTTGTTTATTTAACCAACACATGTATTTTTGGGCAGAATGAGAGCCAGACTGCAAAGGAGCTTGTGAAAATTATTGAGGATGCAGAGAATGAATACCAGGTATGTGGAAGTTAAAGAGACAGTGCGTATAATTTAGGGGATTTCCAAGCACAAATGGAATAGTACGAATAACTTTTTCAAGTGTATATAATTCTGTGAAACAAATATTCCTTGTGCAAGTGTTATCTTTGAATGAGCCTTTCATATTCACACAGAGAGCAGATCCTATGTCCTCATAGGAAGCAGGTTCCCGGTTCATTTCCCTTAAAGCTGCTCAGTCGCCCATGAAGCAAAGGCTATTTGTGCATTTAACAACTTTAAGGAACCATTGATTTAAATGAGGGCTATTCCAGTGTTCCTAATGGAGAGTGTACCTGAACAAATCACATCATTTTCTTCCCTAATGTAAGTCTATGGGAAAAGCTATTTTTGGGCCCTGGTATCATGTTACCAAAGTGGTATTTTCAAGTTGTTTTGGTCCTTGTGATAATGGCTCCAAAGCAAAACTCGTCTGGGAGGGCTTGCCCCATCTTCCACAGAGTCCATGATGTTGCACCAGCATGTATTGTTGTATCCCAGAACAGGCAAAGTAAAGATGAGCTTATTGGATGCGATTCCAATAAGTCCTATATACTCCTCATTTGAGAATAAGATGAGTTGCCCTCATATGTGTCAACATTGCCCTGCATACTGACCAAGACATAAAAGACTCATTTGATTCAGAATGCTGCTTATACATTTCCAAGCACTACCACAAAAGTCAAATATGCAATTTGAATCATTATCAAAATCAGATTTTCAGACCAACATGCCTAAAATAAAACTTGTTGATCTCTGACAAAACATGTCCCCTTTAGACATGGAGGAATTAGAATGAATAGTACTAGTAGTAGATTTAACAAACACATAAAGAGTATAAAGCTGTTTCATAGCTAATGTACACACTCAAATCTTCACATTAAATGCAACACAAAAGAACATTTTAAACAATTGACATGGCTCATAGGTTCTGTTTTGTTTAGAAAATGTTCAATTGACTGTCACTGGCAGATGCCATCCTGGTACAACTTGTACTTATCTGTGTTGTGTTTCAGGTGGCCATCAGTGAGAACTATCAGACCATGTCGGACACCACCTTCAAAGCCTTACGCAGACAGCTCCCAGTCACCCGCACCAAGATCGACTGGAACAAGATCCTCAGCTACAAGATTGGCAAGGAGATGCAGAATGCTTAGAGGACAGACGCTGTTTGGGTGGCGACAAACGAACGAGAAGAAGCTGATGCTCGTGCAAAGATGTGTGACGCACCGTAACGTACTGTATGTCCTGCTAAAAGAGACATTTGTTTGGGGTCTTTACAGAGAATGACATCTTCCGTTATGCACTACGAGGGGATGTCTTCATTTACAACAAAATGTAACTCGCTCATTTGCAAACATATTATTTTTCAACAAATAAAGCCTTAAGTGACACTGTGAAAGCTTGGGTCATTCCTTGCTGTTCAAATTCTTAGTCTCATGGTAAACAAACATAGTTTCTGATCCCTCAGTGCTTCATAATGGACTCGCATCCTCCCACAACCCCTCGACTTTCATGTAGCAACTAATTAACCCCCTCTATATAACAAAACTGATATTCTTTAAGAGCTTCCAATACCCCCTATAGTTTTTTATTAACAGAAGGCAAATACTGTATGCAATTTGATTTATTAGCAGAGACACTTAACATTACCAAATTATTTGGTTTAGTCTAATGTGTTTATATGTATGCATCTCTCTGGACGCAGGGTTGTAGCCAAAGCATCAACTTTCTTTGCCCATTTCCCTACTATATTCCCTCTTGAAGTTCTTTCTCTCATCATAGATTTTGAAAGCCATTTTTGGTTGTAATCCCTCTCTACTCCCCTGGAATGATAAAAGTATTGGTGTCCTCCAGCCAGCGGTTTGCCTTTTAGCTTTTGCTATATTTTTTATACAATCATTGTACATTTATTATTCATGAAATAAAAGTATGATCTTCAAGCAATGTTGATCATTTGTGTGTTACATCTTGTGTTGAGTTTCTTTTACAGCGCCTGGGCACTATATGCTTTATTCAGGGAATCTTTTTTGACTACATTTGATTGCTCTAGGCCAGGGGTGTCAAACTCAAATACACAGTGGGCCAAAATTAAAAAAATCGGTACTAGTTGAGGGCCGGACTGGTTCAATGTTTATTGCAAAACTTATTGAAATTAACTTATTGCACACATTAAACCTGGAACTAACAAAGCTTAAAGGTGGGGTATGTAATTTATTTCAGAAACACCTTTTGTTATATTCCATGGAATGCTCTTAACATCCCGATAGCAATGAATATATGAAATGCTTTGACAATAAATACATAAATGTTAATCTGTGGAAGCTGTAGCGCTGTAAAAAGCAAGACCAATCATTTTAGCCGGCCCGGCTAAAATAACTGGATGGCCTACCTGCCTGTCAGCCTGCTATCTGTGCACAAACTTATCTCGTGCCCTCATTGGTGATGTGCGCGTTCGTGTGTGTTGGAGGAGGGGCTCTATAAGGAAGTGGCAGATTTTTTCCGGTTGTGTATTTTCAAATTCTAGCGCACTCGAGCTGGTTTCTCCAAAATTACCTACCCCACCTTTAAGGTGGGGTAGGTAACTTATTTACAATATAGCCAAGTCAAAAATGTAAAGGATGTCAAAATGTATGTGGAAGTAAATGTTAATCTGTCACCAGTAATAGTTCATGTTTCTCGGAGAAACTTTGTTGAAAAATGACAAAAATATAATTTTATTTAATTGTTTATTTGGCAGGGACAATGCACAGTAATGAACACTTAAAACATTAAAATGTGTCAAGCGTAACAGTGCCAGATTTAGCTTTGAGCTAGTTTCCATCCGCAGTCCATCAACCAACACCCATAATGGGAAATGGGTGTTCGTTAACCGGTGACTAGTAGTTCCTATAAAGCAGGGGTGTCAAACTCAAATACACAGTGGGCCAAAATGAAAAAATGGGTACTAGTCGAGGGCCGGACTGGTTCAATGTTTATTGCAAAACTTATTGAAATGAACTTATTGCACATATTAAACGTGAAACTAACAAAGCTTAAATGATTGCCAACATTAAACATTAAATAATCAGTTACCTTAATTTCTTATGGCTCTATCTGCAGCTTTTCCGGAGTCATTTCTTATGATTACATTTTTCCACAGGCCAACAACAGCTTCAAAAAAACATTTTCCCTCAAAGAAAAAAACAAACATGCCCTGTTGTCGCAAGAAAAAACGTGAAGAAGGAAACATTTAAACTCAGTTTGCTGCTCTGTGATGCTAGTCTAAGCCAGATACTTGGCATCTCATCTTGGGTGCAAGTTCATCAATGTTTGGGCTCAGGCTCTGAGCTGAGGAAATCCTCAGGATTGAGTGAAGGTGTGTGTGCAATATACCGGCGGGCCAGATCTAATAGTAATTACAAATTATCCTGCGGGCCGAAATTAAATCCACCATGGGCCTGATTTGGCCCCTGGGCCTTGAGTTTGACACATGTGATTTAGAGTAAACAACTGAATAAATTAAATTAAATCTAGTATCCCCCAATCCAACAGCCTGACAACAGACCATAATGTAGTGGAATACATTTTGCATCATATAAAAATAATGCAGCCTGTTTTCTTAAGAGGGAGAATTGTGATGTGAATTTGGTCCAATGACCTTCTTCAAGTCCCTAATGCATTAATATATTTTGCAGATGTATGTTTGCCTAGCGTTGGAAATTCACCTGTGTGTTGTAAACCAAATTTCTCTGAGGTTTGCTTATAATTAAGCATTCAAAGTATGTCACTGAATACTCCTTTCGGTACATTTCATTTGTCTTTGCTATACATTACACGTTTTTTAATGAACAGAATAAAACTCTTTTTGAAACAATACATACCAAATATGTGGTGCTTGCTGATTTTCCTTGGTTTAGCAAACTCATTATGTTTAAGTGGGGTAAAATCATTTTGCTCTAAATAGGTGTCTGTGTGTGTTGAAAATAATTGTAGTGCAGAATGCCACGTTTTCAAATATGTAGATTTACTGCTCTTTGGTATTATGTCATACATACATATGTCATTCTCATACATATATGGTCATGACGTAATTGCACATAATACATCTTTGGGTTTTGAATTTCCATACTAAAGTAGATTAATCAAATGCGAAAATGACACATTGCATATCCTTTGGCTTGATATTTCAAAACGTATCACTCACTCAACAGCTTAATCCATTAAATGTATAATGACTACAGCCAAAGTGTATTTTAGTATTGTGAAAACATTATATTATGTAATCGATGGGAACGCCCATTTCACATGACTCCGCACGCGGCTGTGAGCCTAGGGAGTGTCATCAAAAACATGAGGATGTGTACTCCTCAAACAAGGTCGTAACGGAATTTTAAAAAATAATGTAGAATTTATGAGGCATATGTAGGCGGTAGAGTTTACACTGAAGCTTTTCGTGTAGACTATTGTTTTTTGTTTAGTCGCTCTGGTGTCTTCGTTTTTTCTCTGTAAGACAATTGCAGACGCTCTCTTCCGGTATCCGTTCCGGAGACCGTTCACCAGCTTGAATTTTGCGGTAAACTGCGCTAAGTATTTGTAAATGTATCATTTTATCGCCATTTAACCGAAAAAATGAACCAGAAATCGAGGCCCGGTTTAACTAATGTTTCCTTCAGACATGCGCAAAAGTGCCGCAAAGTGTAACATGTGGAAATGTTGTGCGCATTTCAACCAACAGCTACAGTGATACTTGGGTTGATAGTTGAACTTCCTCATTGTGATTCAGCCCTCAGACAGCAGCGGCCTGTAGCTCACCATCATGTCTCGTCAACAGTCGCTTAAATCCGGGCAGGACTTTATTGCATTTCTGGGAGACAGAATATCCAATAGTATCTCTAAAGAGGAACTTCGGGCAATCTACTACGCTGAATTTAAGGGCAGGTAAGCTGGAAAATCAGCATGTGTCACATGCAGTTGTTGGACTTGGCTGTTATGATACTCCTGTTGTGTTTGTATTGTCACAGGAAAGGATTTAAAGACCCCAGCTTTTCCTCTGTTGTCTACGCCCTAGTGAAGTCCAACAAAGCCTTCTTAAGACAGGAGACAATCTACTTAAATGTCAAACCTCAGGTAAGATGAGCCGTCATTTCACTAGTGCAAAGTGTCCCCACTAGCTATCACCTGCAAAATGTCCAGAGATGTAAAGTAACTAAGTACATTTTCTCAAATATTTTACTTAAGTACAATTTTGAGAGACATGTAATTGAAACTAGCTGCACCTTTACCAACTTTGCTAAACACATTAAGGCATCAATAATTATAATCAACAAATTAATATATTATTCTTAAATTGGCTACTTTGCATAATGAGTACTTTTACTTTTGTACTTTAAGTATTTTTTGACGATAATACTTTTGTACTTTTACTTGAGTAACATTTTGATTGCATGCCTTTTACTTGTAACAGAGTATTCCTTCACTCTGGTACTTCTACTTCTTTTTGTATTCTTTAGATCTGAGTACTTCTCCCACCTCTGAAAATGTCATTAGAAAATGACAAAGAGATGCAAAATGTACGCAAAGAAACCTAAAACAAAGAGATGCATAACAACTACAATCTTATATGTTGGAGAGATGTTTATGCGTTTTGCATGTGCCAAGGGGAACATTGTATTATAATCTGTGCATGTGCTCCTGCTGTGAGAAAACAAGACTGGGATATGTTTTTTTTTTTTTTTTAAATACAGAATTAAAATGAAGACGCAACCAATATTTTGAATCCCTGCTGTAGGTTCCAGTGCACTGTGACCAGTCGAGGAGGCCCCGGGCCCCTCAGTCGCCCCACACCCCTGGCTCTGGCTCCAAGAAGAAGACCGCTAAGACACCTTCACCCTCCTCTGCCCCCTCTACCCCGGTGACCCCGGTACTCACACCAAAGAAAAAGCTGGCAGCGGAAATCCTGCGCAAGTTAAAGCTGAACAGGTAGGTGTGCCTTATCACCTACAGCAGGGGTACTCAAACTTTTTTATTAAAGGTCCAGTTGTGAACTTTATACAAGGTCACTGGTCCGGATCAATGCCAGTAAAGTCCCCCCCCCCCCCCCCGAGCGGAGAAACGAAACTGAAATTAAGAAGCAGTTTCTTGGCGCTCTATGCATGGAGTTTCCCGACATGTCGTTGCAGTAAATTAAAGGGTGTTTCATGTTGTCGTTGCTGTGGACCTTCTTAATCTACCTTCTTTGGGGGCCCCCTTCTGGTCCAAGCACTTGCCTGCCTTGCCTGTCGGTAAACGGCGCCCCTGTATACACACACACATTCAATACATACATACAGTATGTCAAGGTAAACTTGCAGTTAACTTGTGGTCTGCTATGCGTGTCACGCTCGCGCACACAAGTAAATATATATGCACGTTCATTCTCACAACGCGTCAGACACAAGACGCGCGTACATGATGATGTACATTAATTTTTTATAATTTTTTTTATTTTTTATAATGGGACACAGGGTTCGGTCCGGATTGATTTGCAGTTCGGTCCGGATCCGGACCTTGGTCCGGAGTTTGAGAAGCCCTGACCTACAGTATAATGTTGTCATTATACTGTAGGTGTAAGGTGTAAGCCTCCGTTCTTACCCCCGGTTTTTACATGTGCATCCATGTTACTTTTCAAAATAAAACTCTTCACATGAGATCACATCAAGCTTAACCCATGCATTAATAGATTCAGTTGAGGTCATCATTAGGAGATAACAGGGTGTTGAGCATTACTAATGTTTATTTTATTATCTTTGCTTTGCCATTTTCTTAATGTCTTTCATTTTTGTAAAGCACTTTGAATTGCCTTGTGTTGAAAGGTGCTATATAAATAAACTTGCCTTGCCTTGCCTTGATAAAAAGCCATGGGATTCGATACAAGAGGTGTGATCCTTAAGAAAGTACCTGGAGCAGCAGAGGGGTTGAGAGTCCATGATAGGTGTGGAAGGGGCTCTTACATTATGCATGTGGCTTTGTCAAGGTCAAGGTTCAACTCTATTGTCATTAGGAATGCACATCAGTATATATTCGGACTGTGGCTGCGAGGAAGTGCGGTCGCCTCTCAACCAGACATGTAGTATGTAAACACTTTGAGGGGTCGCAAAGACTGGATAAAGCGCTATACAAGTAGAGTCCATTTACCATTTATATCAGTCTGAGTATGCTTATTTAATCACAATTGAAAAAACGACTCCCATACAACAGCACAAAAATACCAACGACCACATACAAAACAAGTGCTGTGTATAGCAGGTAAAGGAAGCAGGTATTTTCGGATTAGCATTGATGACAATGTAAAGCAGATTGCAAAATATGCTCTGCTAAATTCTCAAGTTGAGGGGTTAAAAATAGCTAATAATTTCTAGAAGCATCTAAAGAACTATCACAATGCACACACAGAATTTGTAGAAAATACTCAAATATAAAAAGAGCAGTATAATAGGGCAAAATATATAATCATAGCAGTAAAGGGATAACGGTTAACAAATGTATATTTAAAAGAAAGATGTACAGTTACACCAATTTGTGACGATTCCAGTCACTTTTTTACTGTAGAACTCGGTACAGGTACTTTGCCTTTTTAAGTTTCTTTAAGATGTACAGCCATTGCTTAGCCATCTTTATCAGAAGGGATATGTGCTTTCCCCTGACTCATCTGTTGTATCCTTGTTTTCACTGGTTGAAACTAGTTCTGCTTACCACCTTGTAGCGTTTTATTATCACTTCAGGGCAGTTGCTCCTTGTCCTTTCCCACAAGGAGTCACAAAGTTGAGTTGTTCTCCTATATAATGTGTCACAACAGTGTCAGTCACTGCAGAATTACTCTGAGATATCGAACCCCTTTGCTTGGTTTTATAACTTTTTACCATATTAACATATAAAGACATTTTGTTTGAAGGACTCATTTCAGATTTCAACCACAACGTACAGGTTAAATTGCCTGGAGTGAATCTAAGAGTGAATAATTGTCTTTCCATATGTTTCATCCCTGTGATAGACTTTCAGTGGTAGATTGTGGACTAAGGGTTAGGGCACCAAGCATGAACTGCTGTTTCCATCTTGCCTGTGACCTTTGTATCTTTTCGACCCCCTCTCTCCTTTTCCCTCATTTCCTGTCGTATCTCCACTGATGGCTATCAAATAGTTCTAAAAAGCTAGGCAGATTATCATCCAAAAATGTAATAAAACTCTTGAAACCCCCAAGAGAAATAATGGAATTCAGACACAATTCTCCACCCAATGTTAACATTTTTCACAATTTCAATGAAACTCAATTAAATGTTTTTACTGTCTGGCAAGTTTGCATTCATCTCATATTTGACAGTTTATGGAGACAAAAAACAAGGGGAGATAAAGAGTTTTGACCTAGATCCATGACCAGAATCGAATGGGAAAAGTTTGACTAAATTCTTTACACTTTTTTATGGTTATAAGTTTTACAGATGTGCACCCTGACCAGGTCTTTCTCTCTGTCTCACAGGAAAAAGATGACAGCTGACAAGGGCGGCATTCAAATCACCTCAGACCCTGCTGCGATCGGCGGAAAGGTCCAGTTCACTGTGGAGCGTCTGAAGGAGTTGTTCCTCATCAGGTTTCACATCGCAAACAAGGGCACACACTGTGTCAACTTCACCTTCTACACTGCCCTGCACAATATGCACTGTTTCACTTTGGAGGACGAGAGGAGGGTGACCAGAGCTTGTCCCCTCTTCCTCTCTCCAGGTGACACTTCTAACACTCCTCCTCTCTGTTGCCATTAACAAAAAACACACTGAGGTGGAGGTCAGTGATGCTCACAGCTCCTACTCTGCTTCCTTTCTTTCACAGGAGAAAGCTATGAGGTTTTGGTTCGTTACACGCTGAAACACTATGGATTTTTCCCGGCCACGATGTACTTTGAGTTCTGCGCAGATCTGCCGGGAGCCGTGCCCTTCTGCATCGTGAGGGATATGGAAGCTGCAGCCAGGACCCCGCTGGCTCTGGAGCTGGGGCCCGTGTCTCCTTACAAACCATACAAGGGGGTCTCATACAGGCGTGGGGGCAGAACGATAGTGGAGGGAGTTCCACCTGAGAGGTACGTTATTACAAACTGATTGTAAACCAGTTCAAGTCTCAAAATAGAAATGGAGTTTTAAGGCTGGTTATTAAGGAGATAACTATAAATAAGGTACCACAGATTTTCCATATTGTGGGTTTTTTGGTGGGTCCAGAGGAAGCAGAAAGTCTTAGAACTGACCATTGTCTGATCTACCAATGTTTGTGGATTTCAATGAATTATATTAAAGTCAGAATTAAATGGGAATAAACACATTTGCCCATACTTCTGGATTATCAACGTCAACATTTTAAAGATCTTATTTAAATGCTGGCCCCTATGATTTGAAACTTAAAATAATGTAGACTAGAGTGTAACTGATGGAACCAGCAGATTGTTGTACTAATTTAAAATGGAATGAGTACAGATTTATTTTTTCGCTAGCAGCAAGAAATCCGATATTACAGATTACGGTACACATATTTGATTTGGAAGCTCCTTGTAATTGCAACAGATGGACCCAGAATAGTCCCAGAAACAGTTTTTTATTCATTTATAATGTGATTGTTTATAATGTGTGTGTTTGTGTTTGTGTTTTGGTCTCTGCAGGTCTGGGGTCCAGCCTTTACAGTCAACATTGAAATTAGGAAACTTTAACTACCCCAAAAACCTAAAGGGACTGAGGCTGGAAGACTCTGAGTCTCCATCAACCAAGCAACGCCTGCCATTAGTGAAGTGAGAGCATGACCTATTTACCTAAAGCTTCCCCAACCCTGTATTTTCTGATCTGAACTCCCTCATGATCACAATGTGTGTCTGTGTGCGTGTTTGCTGTATATCCAGGGGTCTCCTTGACGCTCCCTTAAAGATGAAGAGCTACGCTCATCGATTTCACCTCCTGCTACACCTGGAAGAGGTACAGATGGAGAGGGACATCCAGAACTATGACCTCCACAATCAAACCATGACCCCTGACCAATTAAACAAGAAACTGCTTACACTCAGGGTAAGGAATCCTCACAGTACACTTTTTAAAAAGCAGCAACAACAAGTCTAATTATTATGAGACTAAAACATTTTCATGATCTAAAGGATGCCAAGTAGTCTTTATGCTTTCTTTGTGTGATTTTCTATTATTTTAATGTTGTTGTCCTCTGAATGCTTGCTGATCTAATGTAAGTTCAGTTTAAGAAATACTTAAGCTCATATTTTATTTGAGAAAATGTTTGTTTGCGTGACATATTACATAGATGGTGAATATTATTAGTAATAATTCCTCCATGTTTGTATGGTTTTGTAGTGATATAGGGAGACTGTGCTTAGGTTATGTGTCTGTTTGCAGTATGTGCTGGATTTTAATAATTAGTTCTGAAACACAGCGTGGCCAAACATTATTTATTTCTTCAACAATAGTGTGCTATTAAGATTTCGGGAAGTCTACAGGTTTGGATCACAACACGTTTCTGACTGTTTTTTGTCATTTACTATAAGAATCAAGCATCATGTCTGCAGCGGAATGGGCGAGATGCAATTAGGATGGACATCACCTGCCATGATTTAATTTAGTTTAAATAAACCCTCGTTTAAGTTGAACCTGCCTTTTGGGAGTACATTGGGTCTTCACAGAAACTTGGAAATAATTTGAAACGGATCAGAACTGAAAGACTTGCAGACAATGTGGCCTGGGAACTTGGAGCAGTGTAAAAAAGGCCATTACATCCAGTGTTTGAAATGAATAAAACATGCATGATGGCCAACGCTGATATTATTCAACAGGTTCCTGGTGTTGCTGAGAATCGGCCATCTGTACTACGAGGAGACTGTCTGAAGGTGACCAAATGTGGAAACAATGACACCATGTACAATGGATACGTTCACAGTGTGGAGCTGGATAGTGTGAAGCTGGGCTTCAATAAGAGGTGAGAGCGGCACTACAGATACATTAGGGTTGCATATCGTTGCATTTTTTACGATACCGATACCACTGAACGATACCGATACTCAACCGATACATATCGTGATACTTTCATGTTGCATAAGGGAAAAATGGAATCATCCCGCAATTACTCCCATGAAGCGCTTTATGATATAGTTAACATGTCAAATGAATATTAAATTCAATTGTGGGACTTGGACCTTTTAGTGCTGAACAAACAATGAAAACAAAGTATAATCAATATTCAACCTGAGATTCGACTGACCAGAGAACACACAAAGGATCATGAGATCTCGGCATTGCACATAAAACAAATAGCATCATTCAAATCAACATTTTCCTGATGAAAGAAAACAAATCCCATCACAGTTCAGTTTTGTGCATTCATCTTCAAGAAGATGAGCATATGAAAGCTGTGAAAGGGCCCGTTTGGATCCAAACAGGCCCTTTCACAGCGTAGGATATCACCTGCTGAACTGAACACTCTCTCGCTTGGCACGCTGCTTCCCTGAACACAAAGGTACTTGGTTGCCATACGAGACAGCATTGGTTGGAGATTGGATGTGTTGCCACCTTTCCCAGAAATAAACTTCTTGCAGTGGTTACAGACCCCTCCATTCAGACTGGCAGTGGTTACAGACCCCTCCATTCAGATTGACAGTGGTTACAGACCCCACCATTCAGACTGGCAGTCATATGCAGCCACACTTTAGATTTTCTAAAGCGACTCGTTTGCGGAGTTTCAAGGCAAAATTGACATCGTAATTCCAACGGTTTGGGCGCGAGTTTAAGGATATTACGTCTCACTTTTATAAAAAAAAGAAAGTATCGAAAACCGGATCTGATTTCGGTACGGTATACCGTAGCCGCCAGTAACCGGTATTTCGGTAATACCAGGAACCGGTATGCAACCCTAAAACACATGTCCGTTTAAAACATAGTGAATGTCTATGAAAATGAATAAAGTATCTAACTCGAACACTTCTCCCACTTTCCACCTGCTTCAGATTGTTGCAGATTTTTATCCCCAACATGAAGTTCGACGTGGAATTCACCGTCAACCGGTTCTCCTTGAGGCTGCAGCACCGTGCCGTGGACTTGGCAGTAAAGCAAAGGCTGGAAGAGGTGCTGTTCCCGTCTGGTGCAGCAGTGGCTACTCTCCCTATGCCTAAACTCAGGTGTGAGACCTACACACACACAAAGTTAATGCTTATAGATCACTAGTTGATAAGTAAGGGATAATGTGCAGCGAGGCGGTCATGCTGATCAAGATCAGTCGAGCTCCTGATCTGCCTGTCGGATGTTCTTTTCCCCATAATTGATTGATTGATTGATTGATACATTTTATTTTGAACAAGTAAAATAAATAATTACAAAAAACAAAGAAATGTTGCAGTGCATAGTCATGTAAGAGAAAACAAAACAAAGTGACATTTACAACTACAACAGCATTAGCAACATAAACAGTCCCACATCTAGTGTTCGAAAAGGAGTGAGAAGAAGTATAACTAATGACCAAGTCGCTGCACATTATCCCGCTTATTACAAGGCCACATTCTCAACAAAGTAACGACATGACTCCCAATATTAATTGAAATGCTTTTATAGATTTAGAAAATGTTTTTATTGATTTAAAAAATAGTATTATTGATTTAAAAAATTGTTTTATTGATTTAAAATGACATGCATCCGCTAAGAAAAATAGTCCGTTGTTACCGTTTGAACTACGAAGCAACGGCAGGAAGGCGGAGCTTTTTGATTACAGATTTGAAAACATTGTTGCTTGCTTTAAAAGTAGCACATTTCATTATGTCAAACCTTGGAAAGTATCTAGATATCCCTGCTCTAATGCCAAAGTAACTGGCAACTGAATATGTTTGCCGTTCGATGTCTATGTCTGGACCGTTGCGTAAAAAGGACCGCAGCTCCGTGTTGCCCCGTTACTTCTCAGCTGTTTTCTTGTCCCTCTTGTCTTTTTCTTTTCTTCGCTGGGGACTCATCAGCCACTAACCATTCATCCAAATTACTGTGCTCTCCAAATATTTTTAAATTAATATTAAAATCCTCCATGTTGCTGTCAGACGGGAGACAACGGAAAACTAAAGACAAGCAAACTGCATGCAGTTTGCTTTTCTTTCTGCAGATGTGAGCGTCCTTAACAACGGTCAATAAGTCCTTGACAGCGGTCTGTACTACTGGATTAACAACGTGTTACGTGTTCTGAATTGACCAATCAGAATCGAGTATTCAACTAAGCCATGTAATAAGATAAGATAACCCTTTACTAACCCCCAGAGGGAAATGCAGGTGTCGGATCAGCAACAGCAATAAGAGCGAAACACAGGACAGGAAAAACGTAAGAGTTCAAAAGGTTAAAAAGAGAGTAGCTGACCCTACATTACATTACATGTTACTTGTTAGACGCTTTTATCCAAAGCGACTTACATACTCAATACTGTGGACAATCCTTGCAGGAGCAATTTGGGGTGAAGTGTCTTGCCCAGGGACACAACGACATGCTGACTGCAGTGGGGTTTGAACCTGCGCCCCCCTGATACGAACACCAACGCACTAATCCACTGCGCCACACGCCTACATGTATTCAGGAATTAATTAAGATAATCTATGATAATGAATAAATATATTTACATGGCTTTGTGTGAGCCCAAAGGAGGTAGATTCAATATCATGTATGTACCATAGACTGTATGGTACAGATACATAGACGTAAGCACCTTAAAGTGCAGTATCTCATGTTCTTATAGAAGCTTAAACTGTCTGCTTTTGGTGATAAGAGTGCATGAACTCCAAATGATGAGTGAGTGCTCAGCAGCCTTCACCTCAGCTCTCTCTGGGCACTAATTCACTCTATCGCACCAACAGGCTGTTGTTTGGTTTATTGCTGTGAACTTGCCTGGATTAGATATGGGTCATATATGGAGGATTATGTTTGTGACAAAGTTCACATCCGGTTCTGTAACGACCGTGCATCGTCTGATTATACATATACAAATGACATTTTCGTCTACATTTATATATATATATTTTATTCAACATTCTCACATGACTCTCCAGTATGTTCAACCGTCAGCTGGAGAACAACCCGGAGCAACATGCTGCCGTCCAGCGCATCGTGGCCGGGTCGTCAAAGCCCGCCCCTCATCTTGTGTTTGGGCCCCCTGGAACTGGAAAGACAATCACTCTGGTTGAAGCTATGCATCAGGTATGTGTTGTTGAAAGTGTGACATACCTAGACTGATTAAACCCTCAAAACGTAATCAGCCTCTCACTAAATCCAATGGTGGGATAGTTTTGACTGTTTCATGGACGAAAAGAGATGACATGGATATTTTGATGGCCAATCTTTCTTATTTTCTAATAAACCTAACAAATAATCAAGAAATTAATATTAATCAGTTATAAAAAAATGGTTAGTGGCAGGTCTTATACAAACACAGTATCATGATACAGATTTCTGTGATTTTCTGAGCTCCTCTTATTTGTTTAAAGAGGGTCTTTTTGTTGAAAAATTGGTGATGTTGACTATTTCCACCTGCCATCACATTTTAACAACATAAGAATCAGAAATGTGTGAACAGTTGTTGGGCTGCCTAGGAGACACCATTGTGAGTCATATCTGTTCAAAACACAACCACAAAGTCCTAAGGAAGCAGATGTAATTGTCAACTTTTCTTACATTTATGAATACGCATGTAGAAGTTGCATACTTAATCATAAATATATCATTTTGCAGAGGAAAAGTTTGACAGTTTGACAGTTTGACTTCTGGTTTCATTGTTGATTGAAGTGCTGAATCTAACGATGATTTCCAATATTTATTAGTCTGCTTAAATATTTTATAGAATACATTTTTGGTTTTCTAAAATGCAAGAAAACTGAGAAAAATGAAGTCTGAAGTGACTTCTATAAATGTCTTGTTTTGTTAGTTGAAAACCCAAAGATATTCAGTTGAAAATGAGAAAAGCAAGAATTCCAACCAATTAATTTTGAAAAAAATCGACTAATTGTTGCAGCTCCAGTTGCTTCAAGGACATTCAATTTGCTACTTAATCTGACACTGTTGTTTTTTATTATCAGCAAAGCATCAAAATAAGTGAATTCAAAGAGATGAATTAGACTTTTCTTACGTCGACAGGTCAGCAAGGCAGACCCATTATCCAGAATCCTGGCCTGTGCCCCTTCAAACAGCGCAGGGGACCTCCTCTGTGAGAGACTGATGGTCCACATGGACCCTCATCGCATCTACCGCATGTACGCCAGCAGCCGAAACCCCAGAACTGTCCCCGCCGACCTGCTGGTGAGCATCAGCTGGCAGTTTATCATCCACAAGATAATCTGGTTACTGGCCATGAATCAGCTCTTATTGGGGATAACATCTCTACCAACAGATTTGAGCTTCTGATAGCCTGTGATTCAGTACACTCATTTGTTACCATACCATATGTATGTAGGGCCCATCATATTTTTAGGTTTGAAAAATGTAAACGGAGATTGAAATATGTTCACAGTGATTCCTCATTGCAGTAGCTACATCCAGATGTTGGTGACATTAGTAACCAAAGTTAAGAACATATTATTTTCTGCATATAGTCAAAAGCATTGTTGTAAAAGTGTTGCCTTTTTATCCTCTTGTGTAGATCAATAATAAAAAAATAGAAGAGTCTGAAATAAACAGGTATCATTCATTCCTCTGCTTTTCATTTAAGGATGGTTGGATGGAAAATGGTTAGATGTTTAAATAACCATTCATTTTTCACGCGTCCTCTTGTCTCAATTTTCTTCCAGAAATATTGTAACTGGGACAAGAGAGAAGATAAGTTTGTGTTTCCAGAGAAAAAAACTCTGATGAAATACACGATCATTGTTACGACTCTGGTCACAGCTGGCAGGTAGGTTGCTTTTCAAATTCAGTCATTATTCAATGTAGGACTCAATGGCATCATTCTTTAATGTTACACACTGCTAGTTTAACATTTCTGTTGTGTGTTTCTGTCTTGAGACTGGTGTCTGGAGAATTACCTGTGGACCATTTTACCCACATCTTTTTGGATGAAGGAGGCCAGGCAGTGGAGCCGGAGTGCGTCATTGCCATCGCAGGTAAATGTTGAGGATCTGAAGTATAAGATAAGACGTTCTTTATTAATCCCAATTTGGGAAACAATTTTGTTGCAGCAGCATAAAACAAAACAAGGCATTGCACATAATAACAAATTAAAAGAGTAAAATAAACAATTCTAAAATAGAAACATCTTAAAATAGAAATAGAAATAGAAATAAACCAGCATTAGAGAGTAAGACAAATATACAGATGACCGTGAAGATAAAAAATCCATAAACTGACAAATAAAAACACTATTGAAGGGCCTGTTTCTGTTTAGCTCTGCATCCACCGGCCAGGTTTGCAAAATGGTGTAAATGTACAGAGTGTGTGCATTGATTGGTGAATTAATATAAATGTAGAAATTGTGAAATGCTCTACCCAGAAGTCTGGAATACTCCACACAGCTCAAGAGTATATATGTGATGGAAACTTCTGAAGCAATGGAGACGGGACTCAGAGACATGGGGAGAGCAGGATCTTTGATGGTAAACACTGACGGTTTATTTGGAGCTTCGGCCGGAGAATTCACAAGACATGTGCTGTGCCACGAGTTGACACAACGGATGCCAAACCAATTCTGAAGATCTCTACCCCAGACCCATGTATTTAGCTAGTTCTGAGAGAATAATCAACATTGTGCATAACAAGATAAAGCACTATAACACCTCTATCAGCTGACGCCAACTGGCAGGAACAGGGAGACAAAACACTGAGAGCCCAAGGTTGCAGGTGCTCATTGTACAAACTGATAAACTGGGTCAAAGTTATGGGCCTAGGAAAATATTTCCCCAACAGTTTATAGATGTACATTTTAAAGATGTATCCACATGTTGCACTGTTTTATTAAATGAAGTCTTACTGTATGATTAAAGGTCAGTGTAAGTTTGTAGAAGCATCACCAGTAGTGAAAGGGATTCATTTAGTAACTGTTTGATCTCTCAGGTCTGCTCGATGCAGAGAAGGGTCAGCTGGTGCTGGCCGGAGATCCAAAGCAGCTGGGACCAATCCTCCGATCTAAAATAGCAGTGCAGCATGGACTCGGTGAGACGAGGGGGATTACATTACATTATTTTGTCTTGATGTATTCTTTTGCACACTACAATAGTAGTTAATGCCATGTTTTTACTGCTAAAAGTGTAAGAATACACGATTCAAGGATATAAATGTAATGCTGTACCGTTAATATTCTCCAGGGCTTTCTCTGCTGGAGAGACTGATGAGACACAACACTTTGTATCAGAAGAGTACAGACTCTGGGCACTTTGACACCCGCTTTGTGACCAAACTGCTGCGAAACTACAGGTGTGTTTTTTAGTTTTTACCTCCATTTTGCTTTTATAGTTTTGATGAACGCTCTTCAGCTTTCTTGTTTTTCTTTCTTAACTCAGGTCGCATGCTGCCATTCTGAAAGTCCCCAATGAGCTCTTCTATGAGAATGAACTGCAGGTGTTCGCTGACCAGTGGGAGCGCGACATCTACTGCAAATGGGAACACCTTCCCAAAACGGTGGGGCAGCAAAAGCCTTTTTCTTTATTCTCGGACAATTTTAATACCAATATGATCTCACAGTGAAGCATTCTGAAGTTAGTTACAGTGTTTAGATTTAAAATGTCTGCCCATATTACTGACCAACTACAGTGTAGTTATACATACCTTAAAGGGAATCTCCACCATTTTTTCTTTTTTTAAAGTCACCTAACTTCCTGAAAGTGCCATAATAATTGGTGTCCTTTTTAATTATAGTGAGACTCATGAGTCATTAACACTCATATAGTTTAAATATATATTATTTACATGGAACACAGAAACCAGCCGGAGACTGTCAGAGAAGAAAAGACAACGATCATTACAGCAAATGAGATGTTATTATGGAAAGACATTTTGAAACATAATCTGAACTTTCATTAGAGTATAAGGGAAAAGCTCTGGATGCTTTATTTTCATATTATTATTTTAGTATGGTCGAGTTCGGACAAAAGCCAAAAGCAAGCAGAGATTAAATACAAAACTTTAAAAGGACATGGTGTAAACAAAGTACAAATATCTCCAAATAGCCTGTCAACCATGAGGATATTGTGGTAACTGACATCATGCTGTCATCACTACAGGGTTTCCCAGTGATCTTCCATGGAGTGATTGGGAAAGATGAGAGAGAGGCCAACAGTCCTTCTTTCTTCAACGTGACTGAGATTGAGGTTCTGATGAACTACCTCACCAAGCTGATAGAAACTCAAGGGAAGAAGGGTCTCCCCAAACTCTCTGCCAAAGACATTGGCATAATCGCCCCCTACAGGAAACAGGCGAGTCATTGTGCTGTACTTAAACTGTTTTCAGAGATGCTGTAAAACAGTTCAAGCTATTCATTGCTAACTTTTATCTTACAGGTTGAGAAAATCCAAAAGGCCGTGAAGTCCGTTTCGGCTCTGAAGCGATTGGGTGATCTCAAAGAGCTCAAGGTTAGTAATGCTGCTGTCAGGTCATCTTGTTCGGGGAAGGATGATTGAAAAGGATGCTTATTTAATGTTTATTTTGTACAATATTAATATATAGATATGTTATCTTAGCACTCAGGACATTAGAATATAACAATAGAAAGACAGGAAGACTTTTAAAGATTATATTTTTGTACAACAAGTTTAAGAGATAGAATACTTCTGACTAGTCAGTCTGGAGTATGAGTCTGAAGACTGAGAGAATCTTACAGGATTTTATACTATGTATCGCACAAAGTAAACATTTAGATGTCATCCTTATGTAGCTGACCCCTGTAGCACAATTGAGCAAGAAACACCCTTAAAACAGGAAGACTTGATGCAAAGGTATTCCATATGAATTAATGATTATATCTACAGTAAAGTTAATAAACTAATGATCAAATAATCAGTGAGGCCTACTTCTAAACATCTTTCTCCTTCAATGCACATGTGTTAATGTGTTATTGAATAAATCAGGATTGTGTTAATTTACAAATATGTTACAGTATATGTTTTCCTTCGTGGGTATCAGGTGGGGTCTGTGGAGGAGTTTCAGGGCCAGGAGAGGAAGATCATCATGGTGTCGACAGTCCGCAGCAGCATCAACTATCTCAAGATGGACAAAGACTTCAACATTGGATTCCTAGCAAATGAAAAGGTCTGTTCTATGACTTCCTTCACATATAATGGTAATAAAACAAGAATTATTTTGTATATCTTGCTTCTTTATATATGGATATATCTGCAGAGATTCAACGTGGCCCTGACCAGAGCCAGGTCCCTGCTGATAGTCGTGGGAAACCCTGTGATCCTCAACAAGGACCCCACCTGGGAGAAGTAAGGAGAAACAGGCCCAAGTAGCAATGTTGGAGTGCAGAAAGTTGTCTTAAAATTGTGTATTTTTGCAGTTCCAGACACTGATTTAAGAGCCTTGACATTTAAATGTGATTGTAGTTTACACAATAACTTCACCACAAGGTCTGTTAAGTAGCTATTCTGGAGTTAAACATCGGATTTTGCTCAGTTTAACAATCTTTCATCAAGTTTTACATGTTCAGATAATTTTTCTTGGAGCAATTGAAGGACTTCTGTCCACGTTTGCTTACTTTGTAATTTTTCATGTGCAGGTTTATCAGCTACTGTGTGAAGGAGAAGGGATACACTGGATATCCCTTTGAAGACGCAGAAGGGGAGGATGACATTGTGTCCAGACTGGCATCCCTGAAAATCGATGTGGATTCTGACAGTGAGTACAGCTGTAACCTCAGCCTTATCAGCTGTAATAATTCCAGCTAATATCACGTCCATAAAGCATTAGGAAAATATTCTGCTTGTGAGAAAATGCAAATGTTGTGTCCTTCAATTTTTGTCGTAGATCCTGAGGAAGAGCTGAGCGCCCTCCAGCAGCATATGGACCCCGAGTGGAAAAATGAGCATTGAATTCTTCTTTAATACAATTGACAAGGAAAAAAGAACAATTTGCGGTGCAATCTAATTGCATACAAATGAATTGCAAGTATCAGCATTTCCTTTTTCCTTTCGATGAGCTTTAATCATAACATTGACATCTATTTAGAATATATTCTGCTTATGTACTTTTCTAAGAGCAGTTTGCATATTTTGGTGCAAAGAAGCAATGCTGTTTTTTGATGATAATTCCACAGTAAAACTCTTTCAGTGGCTTGAATAAAGCTGCCATTTAACAGAGTGTGCTTAGTGGGACCATGGCTGCACTAAAGTAATTCATTTTCTGACTAAGAAAAAAAGAGCACACTGAAATATGTCTCAGGAATTCGTCACTGTATGTCTTACCGCTGTTTTACACTTAACATGTTAGTGTCCTTTCATTTCATGTTTCTTTCTGATCGTAGTTATACCCTGAATAAATACTGTCATTTCTGAATTATATCGTTTTGTAGACTGTCATTTCATAACCTTTTATTAATCATCTCCTTTCATTGCATTATACGCAGTGAACCATATCTGAGAATCAAGGAAGGACAAGTCAGTCTCGTCTCAAAAATAGTTTATTAACAATGTTCATGTTAGCCTTAGCTACAACACTTCCCGTTTACAAAGCATCATGACAATACGCTTAATATAAATCTGGATTCTTTATCCTTTCAAATACTTCCAGAGAAAGAAAGGAAAAGCTGCACAACTGAGCTCAATCTGTTCCCAAAGCTGTGTGTGTGCTTACTGTAAAGACCAATGTTTTTCTCATGCATGCATCAACATCACAAGGACAACTTTTGATAAAAGCGCAACATTATCTGTTACAGCAGTATTGTTTTGGTGACATGTCTAACACTAGAGCCTCTGCAGCTCTGAGAGGCTTTCATCAGAATGCTGTGCTTCCAGCTGTGAAAGCTATTCGACTATCTACTCCGACCTAATCCCCAGGAATTCCTTGACTTCATTAAGCTTGTTGAGACCCGTGAACATCATACCACAACTATGAAACACATATCTTAAAACCCATGTTTTAATTGATAAAAAGCCTTTAAGAGATTTCAGAATCAGTTTCGCCTTGTTGGTATGCTTGTTCACCACAATAATGTAAAAAGTAAAGCATAGAGCTAGAAAGATGTAAGGTAACGTTTGTATGTTGTAGCTTCTCCACTTAGTCAAATGTGCTTGGTTAGAATAAAGTGGCAGGTGGTTAGGTCTGTTGCCTTTACTGGTTTTCTTGAAAGATCACATGCATGATCAGAGACATCACACATTTCAACGTCCTCCCTCCTTGAAGCGGGCAGCAACAAGTAACCGAGGGACATGAAGAGTACAGGAATGAGCTACAGAAGGAATGCCATAAGGAGTCTGAGCCTGAGGACAGTCACTGGGCTTTCCAGGTGTTGTATATCAACCCGCTGTATTTCCAGGAAAAACATCTCAATGGAGTATTCTGAGAGGACCACGTGGACGGTCTATGACGTGTCTTCAAAAGCTGCTTTAAGTACATTTCACAATATTTTATGTCTCTTGACTTGAGGCATAAAATATAAAACATAAATCAGGATATATATATACAGACGAATAAACCCAGTTGCACTAACTTTTCTTTTGGCAGTAATACACAACTCTTAAACATCAGAGATAAACTTTATAGCTACAGATGAATGATTTTCCTTAAAGAGGATGAAAGTTATGTAATTTTCCTGTAATTCATTCGTGATGCACAAGGACATTTGTGTTACCTATCATATCAGGCAATATAATAAAGATTAGTCTGCATATATGGATTAATTAAATTAATATAAGGACTGAAAGCTTAGGAAACCTATGACACATTTTGCTGAATTGAGCCATTCAAAGAACTAAGATGAGTGAAACGTGACTCACTCTTGACCCTGTTGGCATGGCGCCCTGGTCTATGCGGTCTGGGAGAGAACCACCAAAGGCACACCACAACAGAGAAGGCACCAGGCAAAAACAAACTCCTCACGGACCTGACTACGCTCTACTCAAACATTTAAAGAATGTCACTGGACTGGAAACATCCACACGCAAAGGCTAACAGCTTTTTAAACATTATTTCCAACACTCAGCTGACCCGACCAGCACACAAGAGTCCAAGGGCAGGCTCAATGGAACTGTAGCAGAGTGTAACTCAGTTGCCTGCTTTAAAACACACAATCCCTTGTTACACCAGCCTTAGGCCTTTCTCTCTGTTTCAGCTGTGTCTTCTTTCTGTTTGTCCTAACAGTCATTGTGCATAGCTGGGTCATATTGGCCTGTTCTCATCCCCTCCATCTAACTGCACAGATCAGCAATAGTTACAAACTACTTATCAAATCTTATATGTCATTATTATTTGTAGTTATTCTCTTTACCCTAATTGAGAATGGCAAAATGTTGAGGGAATTGCAACAAAAAATGACACAAGCAACCCTTTGTTGTGCTCGATGAGGCGACAGCACTGAAAGCCTTACTTGTGGCTTTGCTCAGGTTTCCCAAATACAACACTGGCTACAGCACAATGGAGAGACCCTCATCTGAAATGTTAGCTAGCTAAAAGCATGAGAAATAGATGGTGGTGTACAAACTTTAAAAAAAAAAAGAAGGCACTAGCTCTTATGTTCAAAAGCATGACAGACTGGAGACATGAAGACTTTATGCAGAAACCCCTCGATTCCACCGGGTCGCAGTTTTTGTTGATTTGGGCATATTTCCTGGACAGGCTACTTTGTACAGACAAAGTTAATAATAACTGTAATATTCCAGTTATAAACGACATGAATCAAAGATGTGTTGCTGTATTTTAGTGGTAAAAAAAAATGCATTATCATCATAATTATTCTATATATAATTTGCACAGTGCCTGTAAACCGGAGGAGAACGCTGGCATTCTCCTACTTGAAAGACTACGGAGGGATAGGGTCTGCAAAATTAGGTTGTGTGGGGGGCATATATATACTAGAGATATATAGATAGATAGAGAGAGAGAGAGAGAGAGAGAGAGAGAGAGAGAGAGAGAGAGAGAGAGAGAGAGAGAGAGAGAGAGAGAGATAGAGAGATAGAGAGAGAGAGAGAGAGAGAGAGAGAGAGAGAGAGAGATAGAGAGATAGAGAGAGAGAGAGAGAGAGAGAGAGAGAGAGAGAGAGAGAGATATAGAGAGAGAGAGAGAGAGAGAGATAGAGAGATATATATAGAGATATATATATAATATAGATAGAGATATATAGATTATATATATATATTATATATATATATACTGCTCTGAACGTTCAACTTCCCTGCCCTGCCCGACCTTACGGCTGCGCCGCGCCAAAAATAGGATTCATCCTAATTTTAGAGGAGCCCTGCGCCGAGACGCTTCTGGGACGCTTCTGAGCCGTAACGCGCCGCGTGTGGTGGAATAGCACCCATTGACTAGAGTGGCCGCGATCGCCGTGAGCACCGCGGCGTAGCCGTAACGCGCCCGTAACGCGCCGCAGACGGACCCGGTGGAATCTAGGGGTAAGAGGGACACTGCTAAAGCTTGTGAAGAAAACAATATTGCATTACAATATGTCACTGCCTTGTTAAAACAAAAAACAAGTAGGAACAATTTAAGTAGTAAGAGTAAAGATAGATTTTGAAATAAAAAACAAGCAAATCAAACTTTAAATATTCAATTCTAATCACTGTTGTAATATAGACAAAGTTCATTTCCTGTATTCAGTTGTAATGCGAGATACAGTACTAAGATGCCATTTAGTAAAAGGTAAGTCCTTTTTTTTATTTATTTTTTAATTTTTATAAATGGGATTCTTTATTTCCTATTGGTCAGCTGATCTCCTGGTGTCCGGTCTGCTCACAGCAGCGGGCAGCCGCGTCTCTTTGTGCGCTTTCGGACCTGCAGCGCTGCTCTAGTGGCCATCTCAAAAACTTCCCGCACGCCGTCCTTGGTCTTGGCGGAGCACTCCAAGTAGCCAAAAGCACCGATCCTGGTGATCATGTCCTTGCCTTCTTCTGCCTTCACTGGCTCCTGTGTGGGTAGAGCAGGGATAGTTAGAGACTATTAAAAAATGTATCAATAGTCTTCAAATTAATCCTGATTAATCAACAGATTTGGGGTAGTTACTCAAAAAAAGTCATGCCTTACTTTACTAAATTACTCATTGCTGAAAGTAATTAGTTACACAACTACTGACATTACTTATGGACTACTCTGTAACATCACCTGAGATGCACCATAAGTCAAATGACAAAGAAATATATAAAGTTCAACCTCATTTATGCCCAGATCAGCACACATCTTTAAACCAAGCACAATACTGTACAAGACCTCTGCTCTTTCATTCATGTTTTCTTTGGCTCAGTTTCCTTCGTGGCATAACCCTGGTCCAGGCAGCTTGCAAATGTTTTCCTGTCTGATGGCAGCCGGGGACGTTTGATTTATCCGTCCCCCCGCTATGCAGATAGTTGAAAAGTTACGCAAGTAACAAAATCATTTCGTGCTTAGTAACTGTAATGTAGTTTCAAGAGTAACGCGTTACATTACTGCCTTACAGATAAATGTATTCTGATTACAGTAACGCACATCACAGAATGTTTTTGTTGGATTTCAAATCGATTGACACCACTAGTATAGAATAATCATATTTGTGATTACACATTCATCAGTACCTGAGAAAACATGCAAACAAAGCAGCCCCTTGAGCTTTATTAATGCAGTGCTGTCATCACTCTGAACGCCCTGGTGTAGCTATATTTGTCGTGAATTTTAAGATAAATGTTTTTGATAGAACTTTACAAATTGAACCTATTGAAATGTCTCCACACTGCACAAATCGTCAGGCGTTTGGTGACCGAGTTTTGAAGAGGATCCCACTTGTACCTGATCAACAGTTAATTGACCTTCAATGCTCTCTGTACCTGCTTCATCTTGGCCAGCTCTCTCCGTGTGTGCTCATCGTTCCTCAGGTCCTTCTTGTTCCCCACAAGGATGATGGGAACATTGGGACAGAAGTGCTTAACCTCAGGCGACCACTTCTCAGGGATATTTTCTGTCCCGGGAGAGAGACAAGAAGTGAGCAGAAACACAAGGGAGGGGGGGGGGTTGGGGCTATAAAAAGGGACAGGCGGTGCAGAGTCACGGAGCTTCTCATGATGGATTGCTCTGCAGACTGCCTGAGGCACCGATGTTTTTAGCTGCACTAATCCTACTTCCCATCAAGTCTATTAAGCGTTTAACAAACAGCTAAGCTGATATGAACTGCCTTGATTTAGTGATGAAGATAAACAAGATAACAAGAGGAGTATATCATGTATTTTATTTACGTTTTCTGTTCTTTTGTTGTCCAAAAGACCACTGTATATCCGCAGTTCCTTACCTAAACTGTCGGGGCTGTCGATGGAGAAGCACATGAGGATGACGTCTGTGTCAGGGTAGGAGAGAGGCCTCAACCTGTCGTAGTCCTCTTGGCCTGCAGTATCCCACAGCGCCAACTCCACCTGGGAGAAAAGGAGTAAAACACTTTAAAAAGCAGTAGACTTACAAAAATACAAATATTTTACACATAAAAAGTAGATTCATCTTGGTTTTACAGTGACTCTCCACACACAAAAATGTATCCAGCCACGATATCATTGGTGATCATGTTTCTTTTCTCATATTTGAAGAGCAGTGAATATTTTAAGTATGAGGTATGAACCTTGAGGCATGTGGTGTGTCGTGTGTGTTTCTTTTCCAGCAGTCAATACTTGAAATACCAGCAGGTAAATTATGTGAGGACTGTTTTAACTCTGGACATGCAGCTTGCATTCTGATCATAACGTCTGATTTGTATGAGTTACTCCAGCTGCGTTCCTTCTTTAGATATCTGCTTCCCCTCACCACTGCAGCTCTGACCTAATCAGCTTTATAAGGCCGTTATGTTCTCAGTGCTGTTCAGGGACTGTCCTCATCCCATCACACCACTGATTTATTCAATTAAGGAAAGTGGGAGATTAGCAAGCACCCAACCAGATACCTTCTGTCCCTGTAAGGGCATTAACAGCCGCTCTTCACTCTGTTCTCACACTGGCTCACAGTGGGAAAACTTGTCCAAAGTTTTAAATACTGGAAATGGCTGAAGGACAATAGATTGTGGTGAGTGCACAGAGAGCGCAAGCATCAGTCTACGGTCCCAAAATAGAGGTTTGCAGAGGCAGCGGGTGGGAGGTGGCAGCACACTGTTGAGACATAACCAGAGTTATGCTCCCACTGGATTTTTTTTTTTTTTAAAGCTGCCGAGGAAGAAAGGAAAGGGAAAAAAAAGCAGCTATTTTTAGAGTCTGCTCAATCCACTGAAGGCGAGAGGATGAACATGTTTTTGTCCTTGAGGGGAGGATGCAAATGAAGGGTCTGCGAACACAAACTGAATCCAGCTGGGGAATCTCTCATGGGACGACCATCCTCTTTAAAGTTTGAGATGACCCCCTCTAGAACGACGTCCACCATGGATCCCTAACTTTATATTTCCGGTCCAGAACACAACAGTTAACCCTTCCCCCCATCTAAGTGCGAACAGGACAGGAAATGAGAGACGTTTATCGGGCAGAAGGGTCCTGGTGAGAGGGGAGGGGGGATTGCCAGCAGTCATCCCTGTTCCCCGTCTGAACAGGAAGCTGAGAAGTACAGTCATTTCCTGTTTTGCCCAGTGGTGATCCTGCAGCGGTGGTCGGATCAAGAGGACAAAAGCTCATAACAACTTCAAGCCATCTGTGGATCAGAATCCAACCCCGCTGACAAAACCCTTTGACTACGATTTTAGACATCAAACACTTCATGTTCATATCAGTGTGCTAAACTTGGATGATGAAAATCCAAGTTTCACATTTTTGTCCCAAATTCAAAACATGCGGCTCACTATAGCCCACTACTCTATAATATATACAATTGTGAATCAATGAACCTGATTTCAAACACACAAAATGTAACTTACCATTTGCTAAACCCCTCCCCCATGCAGTGGTTGTCCAATCTGAGCTTTCTGCCCAGCTTTGGATATTTCTACGTTAAAGAGGTGTTCATTGGACTGAATTTGTGAAAATATTTTACTTTTATATTTTAAAAGAGATATTGAACATTTTAAAATACAAAAAATAAATTAGAAATCTAACTTTAGCCAAACAATGGGGGGATTTCCCTCATCATATTCTACATACTGTAGGGTTTTTTATTAATTGTACAGCACTTTAGCTCGACCAAAAATCGTTTATAAATGTGCTATATAAATAAAACTTGATTTGATTTGATACATGGATCATAAACATGGTGAGGTTACTGCTTTACTTTCCTGAGACAAGCATCCTTGGTCTTTTAGTTCAATTTTCATGTATGTAGCCAGCACCTTCATATTTATGACCTTGTTTACAATATTCCTTTTGTAATGCTAATAGTAAATTAGGTTACAAACCTGTTTTCCGTCAACCTCGATGTCAGCGATGTAGTTCTCAAACACTGTCGGGACGTAGACTTCAGGAAACTGGTCTTTACTGAAAACGATAAGAAGACAGGTTTTCCCGCAAGCTCCATCACCGACAATCACCAGCTTTTTCCGGATGGCTGCCATCTCTGCTGGGAAACAAGAGGGGTTTTCACAAGAATGTGTCACAAACAGACATTCAAAAAAGTGTTCCGTGTCAATTATCAAGAGTCCTACAAAGACAAAAACTACTTTAATTGCCCTCTTGGGAGATTCCACTTGTTATGCTTTAGGAACAAGCCCAACTGTCGCACTGCAGATATTTAAAGAATTTATAAAACATAACAGGAACATAATGTTGTACAAAACTTTTCCTGTCTCCAGGGTGACCGCTCTGACAGTCCTGCCTCACCTCTGAGGGAGGACTCTGGAGGACTACTTGTGGCGCGTTTCCACTACAGCGCGGAGCACGGTTTAAGAGGGCTGTGACGTCAGCGGCCCGTCTTTGGTTGCATTTCCACTTGGCCTAGTACCTAATTCGCAGTTTTTCTGGCCTCATAAAATCGTGGGTCTAGGGCCAGAGACAACGAGGCTGAGTCGGGCTGAGTATGCTAAACTAGAGAGAGCATCGCTGGCAAGGGGGCTACAACTACAACAAGATGGACATATTTGACCGTGATTTAATTGTATACACGTTTCAAAATGATGCCGAAGTAACAACATACTGATACCGGTTAGTAAAAACCATGAATTAATGCTTTGACAAGTCTGCAGACAGACGGCAGGCGAAAAACCTTTTAAAATGCGTGTTTTCTAAATGGAGATTGGCTAAGCTAACGCAGTATATGCTCCGACCGTCCACACTCACAACAACGGCCTATACAGACATAAATAAAGCAGCGACTGTATTCGCCATGACACAGGCAGTCTGTGGTGTGTACTTGTTTAACTTTTGTCTAGTTTCTGAACATATATGAGGAGCTGTGAGCTCTGAGTGCTAATAGCTAACGGCTGTGTTGTTTTTCTGGGGTTCTCATTGAAGAAGACGTCACGGCTCCGCCTACACTGCGTTACTATAGATACTACCCCAGTTCATAAACTGTAATGGAAATGCGCCATAAAGTGAGCCAGTCCTAACGAGGCCTAGCCATACCGAGCGGGGCCGAGCGAGGCCGTGTAGTGGAAACGCGCCATTATTAGTGTCCTAGAGCAGACCAAACACGGCCCTGCTTCTGATCTCTCCAGCTGCTTCTTCAGGAATACTCTGATAGTAGACAATATCCTAATCCTCTCAAAACAAGAGCTCAACCTGCTGCACATAGGGTGTTCCAGTGCTAAACTGGAAATGCTTACACGAGGCTTACAGAGTTGTGGGTGTATGAACTACAAAAGAAAACATTTCCATGCAAGTATTTACCACGAAAAACAAAACTATTTCAAAACATAGGTGGATGCATGCTTTTGCCAGTTTCCAGTTTCCTGTGCACAAACTACAATCCATAAAAGCAGCAGAACCAGAAAACCTTTCTGTGACAACCCCAGATGAGAGGAATGGTTTGGGGGGTGCAGGCTGTGGGGGGGTGAGTTGGCTGTGCAGCTGATGGATGAGCCGGAGCCCTGCTGCCTCGGAGCAGCTGTGCATGGATGGAGTCATTTGGATCCTCACCTCATCCACTTTCTGCCAGACGGTCTTGACAGCAATCTTCTTCACGAGGGCACCCACTTATCAGGGGAAATTAATCCTTCAGTGCTCCTGGCAAAACTTTTCGGCCCCAACGCCCACTTTTAATATCTGCTTCGATGCATAGCAACACCAAAACTATTAGAGACGAATCATTAAGATCATCACAAAAACAGACTGAAGTTATTTATCAAACTAATGCTTGGTTTCATTACAGATCAGGGGATTGGCAAATTCATCTAAGTTGCTTGCTAAAAAAAAACAGGGCTGGGGGATAAAATGTGTATTTCAATCTTCTGACATTTAAAACTACTACCTGCCAACATTTACATAGTCCTAACCAATCATCAGCCAGAGTTTATCTTGTAAAAGTAAATGAAAAGACAGCATATATTGCATGTATTCTATATAACTAATTGTTTGATATTTCTGGGGAAATGTGCATATTTGCTTTCTTGCAGAGATTTGAATGATAAGATTGAAACTACTTATGTCTGTTGAAAAACATTTTAAAGCTATCGCCAGCAGACAGTTAGCTTAGCTCGAAGAATGTGTGCTAAGCTAGGCCAAAACAGCTGTACAATGAGAAAAAAAAAGGCCCATTTCCCAGAGCATCAAGTGTTATGATGTTGTGTTGTGTCCAACCAACAGTTTTGACAAGACCACCAAATGCACGTTTGTAACACTGGGACATGTTGCTTTATTTATTTTTCAATAAAACCAATCAAAAGATCATCTGATCACTTTATCTATTTTCCTTATAGATGCAGCTCTTTTAAACTTTTTGTAATTAAATTGACTATCAGACTCTGGGAGATATAAAACAAGTTATTGTGTATGGATTTTAGTGCCAAAATAACAGAATAAGATATAACAGATCTGAAATAAAGGCTTATAAATATGTATATTCATAAATGATGTAAGAGTACAGTAGATACATTTTAAGAACAAATGGCTTGAGTAAAGAAAAATAAAGGATACAAGGGAGGAAATTGTTACCCGGCCATGTTTCCATGGATATTTAGACTTGGCATAACCCATGCTAAGATGTTGGATGTGTGGGCTTGTTTGACAGCTGTATTCAAATCTTGGTTGTATTCCTTCTTATGTGAACTCTGGTTGTGGTTTGTTATTGCCTTTCTTTTGCACAAAGGCCCACTCACTCTGGTGTAGCTATGCCAACAACTTATTTTAATTTGGCTGTTCTATCAAATATGTCCTACATGTTTAATATGTATTGAAATACAAAGCATTGGAAGAAAAGCCACTGAATAAAATGTAAAATGATGACCAAAAGTGATCACTTTAGCTGCAGTTGCAAATGCTTCGACAATGAGATTACTTTACTGATTCCAGAGAAACTGCACAGTGGAGCTGCAATGATAAGTCAACTTATCAATGTTAATATTGTTACAAACTATTTTGACTATGGATTCATTGTTAGTTAGTACATTTTTATGCAAAAGTCCCCTTCAATATGAAGTGTTCTGCTTTTCACTGTTTTATATCATATCACACTTATATTTAAGTTTAGACGGACAAAACAACACATTTGAGGATGACCACTTGAACTTTGAAGAAAACAGCGATAGGCATTTTCCACTATCTTCTTACACTTTATAGACGATAAATGTGAACAGAAAAAAACCCTACTGTAGCCCTTTTATTCCCAGAGATTGTCTGCGCTAGATGATGAGTTCAAAACAAGACAAGTGGGAGATAGCAGCGCTGAGGCCTCAGAAGCTCACCCTGTGAAACAAAACAATCCACTTCCTGTTCTGGTCAGCCGGGAGGAGCTTTTGGCTGCATTTCTGTTTGGACAGGCCCCTTCAGAGCGGGACACCGAGAGGGCTGCCAGAGGCATGAAGTACACAGGCATGCTTTATACTAACACACACACAGTACATGGACATGTCCCAGTGTTTCCCCTACCATTGTATTGGCGCCCCGCCAACGGAGCCCCGCGCCCCCCCCCTCAAATTCAAGGTGTTTTTTTTGTTTTTTTAATAATACATATTTATAGCACCAAATTGCAACTAATCTATCTACTGTCACTTTTCACATTGAACATGTGCTCTTTTATTAAATAAACTAAACACTTTCATTTTAAGTTGTGAGTTTAGTGTTTTTGACCCTAAGAAACACTGATGCATTAATCAATAACAATAATCCACAGCTCCTCTCTCTGCTCCAGAGGAATACAAAAAAAAAATATCCCAACAACACTGAGCTGCATGATGAGACGGATACTGACGGGCTGTCAGGAGAGAAAGAGAGAGAGGGGGAGAGAGGAAAAGAGAGCACTTCCGCTAATTTCTCCAGTGTTATTATCCAAAGTGAATGTAAACTTGAATAATGTACTTCATTTGAATGTAATAATTATGTTGGTTGTTGTTTGTGGAAGCGCCAGTGAATGAGCCCCATTAACTGAGTTTTAAACATCACTTTAAATGGAAGATCCCCACAGGCCCCGCCCACTCGATCGGATCGGTGATCGTATTGGCCGATACTGATTCCGGCGATCGGCCCCAACATTGGCGATCGGAGCATCCCTATCCGATACATTAAAAAACGTTGTCTAATTTCTGACTGATGCCCTTTATTTAGGTGCTAATGGATACAAATGACAGCAAAGGCTGAGGAGGAAGTTAAGGTGGTTGCTAATAGTAACCGATTACATGGCGCCGTCATCCAGTTAAAGTCTGTTCAACACGTTAGAGCCAGTATTCATCTTCTTCACCATCCTGATGCAATCACAACATGTGAATGGGCCCCTCTGATCTGCAGCTAGCATCAGCTGACTGACCTTTGACCTCCACACTTCTGACTAAAAGCTACGGTGTAACTAGCGATTCACCGCCCGAACGAAAGCGGTGACGGAGCAGAAAAGGTTCAACATGATTCTTTTAGCTCTACATAACCATTACTCAGATCAGGGTGCAGACACTTTCATTTACCTGTCAAGAGTGACTTTACACAACACAACTCAGATTTATCCAGAGGAGCAAAAATGCTCTCATATTTATAAAGTCTTCAATCATGCAGAGGTTGAATGATGACCAACTATTTACAGCGAGACAGCAGGAACACTGTGTTTGCATGTTAAAACATCAGAAGAGATACTGTATGCAACGATAACACAATAACACTGACGAATATGTTGTTTTAACACAGGTCAGAATAAATCCCTATATGACGCAAGCAGTTCTACCAAGAACTGATTTTCCTTTTCCCTATTGTACCATTAAAATACAAGAATGAAGAGGTACAACTTTTAATTTCTTCTATCTCATTTATTTACTCTTCTCCGGACTAAATTGAGATTGTGATTGCTCAAACAGGGCTGGCTAAACAGGTGGCACACCTCAATGACATCATTTAGAGGAATAGTTTTTGGAAATAGGATTATTTGCTTTCTTGAGTTACATGAGAAGATCGATACCAGTCTCGAGTCTGTACGATAAATATGAAGCTACCCACAGCAGCATGTTAGCTTAGCATCGAAAGAGAGACTATAGGCTGGCTTTGTCCAAAGTTAACAAAATCTGCCCACCAGCACCTCTTAAGTTAACTACTTAACATACATTATTTTGCTTGTTAAATCCATACTACCAAAACAAAGATGGTAAAATAACACATTGTGATATTAGGAGAGGTCGGGGGTTGTTACGTCAACAAGTTCTGACACAATTTGAAAGTTAATCAATTAGTCAGAAAACTGAATATCAATTGCCAACCATTTTGATCATTTTTGTTCATCAGTAAAGCTTGCCAGGCATTAGCTTCCTTATCTAGAGCAATTTGTTGTTTTGTTTTCTAAAACATTGTAAAACTGTAATGCTTTAAGGATTTTAAATGGTTGGTTTGACAAATAAAGTAAACTCAAGATAAATGTTTCCCTATATTTGGATGTTTGATTCACTTAACAGTTATCCAAAGAAAAGTTAATATTGGAAATAGTAAGATCAATAAGTAAGTGAACATAAACAAATATTATAACAATAACTGATGGATGCCGTTGCAGTATGTGTGAGTAAGTCACTAAGCAATATAGCAGACAAAGTGTAAAGTTAAAACTTTAAGACTCATAAAACTTGATCCAAAACACAACTTTAGCAGCCTTAAACATAGGAAAGCAAATGTCTTCATACAACTATTTTTACTGGGTTAATGAACACTTTCTCTAAGGAGGTTTGCTGAGGCTTAAAGCAGCCAACAGGAGTTATGCAACGAGCTGAGCAGAGTTAGCACGGAGCAGAGCGTGACTGTAGGTAGAGCTGCCTTTCAATCCTTATACGAGTTTTAATTCAACAACATACTGAATGTAGACACACATCCAACCAATAAACAACAAGTTCTTCCTGCATGATGACTTTTTTCATTCTGTGGTCCTGCAAACATTACAAAAAATGAGTCAAAGTGTGATTATGTTGGTCCTCCGACATGATTCCCAGGCCTGCATCTCTTTCTTATACACTACACTGGACTCAGTAAGATCAGCTAAGAACATTGAAGAGTTATATCCTAGATTTTTGCCATTACAAAAGAGTTGTCATTGAGCTTAGTTTAGCTCAAGTAGTAGATTATAGGCTTCATAACAAACAGAGGAATAAAGCCAAGGCTGGATATCGACTGTGGGTCAGTATGACAGATAAACATTTGCCCAGAGATCACAAGTCCAACCTAAATATATATTGGACAAGATCAAACGCTAAACTTAACTTCACTATGAAAGTGACTTTTAAAGTACTTTAGGGATGTGATTTTTACAGCAAAGCCCCCCACGTTTGGCGACTAAACTACTTCTCATTTCTAGGAAGTTAGTTGTTTTTTCAATAAATACAAGCTAACGGACTGTTTTGGCATTTTAAAACAGAGGGAAACATTTGGATATGAAGGGTCGTCAGATCTCTGTGAGTCTTTCTACCTGAGATATGGGCCAAAGTTCATAAGCTGGCAAAGGTTGTGGCTGACACAGAGCAGACAGCCTGTGACTCAGTCTGCCTGCACCACCTTTACCCAGGGTGTTACACATCTTATCTGACTGAAGCTGACATCAGATCACATGCAGGATCAGACGTTGGGTGGTTACTCAAAAAACATCTCTCACAAGAAAGCTTCAGGCTATTTCAGATCAGGCTTTTATGGATAAGATGCAGAGATTCCTGGGTAAGACTTGTACTTAAGTGCATCAAATTGAAATGGGAGTCTGTTACACAACAGCAGGAGTTTATACAGAGGATCAGGTCAGCCTCTTACATTCTTTGGGCGTTTTGTTACAAACACACCAGCTCCACTGAGTAATGCCTTTACTGGTACACCCATGGAAATTACAGAATGTCCCACAAGTCAAACAGCCCATGAAATAAAACCATGTAGGAATTCTGCCTTAAGGCCTCCTGAGGACACTTACCAAGGCTTTTTATCCATGTCTATGTCAATGATATATTCGACAATAAAAAAAAATTGTAGCAATGTTCAATGTTTATGAATGGACATTTTAAAATGAATGACTAGCAACCTGGTTACGTTTACAGCATGGGCCCAGCAGCAATTTATAAATAAACTGAAAGAAGGTACTCCTGCCCGTAAAGCCTATTGAGGAAGTAGGGCAAGACAGGAGAGTTGAGTCAGCCTGGAGCGTGTTATCCAAAGTCAAAAACAAGAGGCAGAGGACACACAGCTGTGAGAGAAACGACACCTCATGACTCACTTTGTGTTCAATAGCTGAAGACATTAGCAGACATGCCAGTTCTGGTTGTTCCTCCAGGGACAAGCATGAGATCCTTTGTATTATGAATACATCAGGCAGTTACTTTCCATTTTAATTCAACAAACATTTGATCTATAATGTCAAGATTTGTTTATATTTAAATGACCATCCAGCACAATGACACATTTACATTTGAAGACATCAACTTTTACTGTAAAATTAAGATTTATATTTTTCACCAATTTCTTAAATTTGTAGGGCTGCAACTATATTTATTTTAGTTAAATCAAAGTCTTTAAAATGTTGACAATCACAATTTCCCATGGCCCATTTCAAAATATTCAAATATCTTGTTTTAGTCTGACTTTGAGTCCATAACCCAGACATATTATATATTTACTAAAGTTAAATATCAAATAAGCAGCAAAGGTTCACATCTAAGAAAGTGGAACCAGAGACTAATAGCAGTTTTCGCCTGATGAAATTATTTAAACAATTATTCCATTACCGAAACACTGGCATTCCTAATTGAATTGATTTCTTAAAAACTACGTTTTTCAGTCAACATATCTGCAAGTGTATTCACAATATTTAAGCATTGAGGCCACATGTTGGTTACTTGTCAAATCTTTCATGAATGGTACATTTGACAACCATTTTCTTTCACTTACTTTCCTCCCAAACATATTCAAGGTTGAAGAATCATCCTTTTGCACACTTGTCTATGTTGTATCATCTTGTTCCAGCACTACATTAGAGCCTATATGACATGTATACCTAGTGAAATGCCCAAACCCATGACTCCAAATTTGTAATGGCTGCACCAATGGACATATTTTGTTGAGCATCATTGTATCCACATTTCACGTAAAAGAAGCCCGACATATCTGTGACTGTGCCATGTCAACTCAGATTTCAAATAAAGAAGTTAGGATTTGGACAATGCTTGGCAGCACAGCATGAGTTTATTATGACTGACTAGCGGCTCAGTGGGGGTTAAGAGGTTAAGATACTGTAAGTAAGCCAACTTGGTTGTTTCAGCCTAAATAACTCACCAGATTGAACTCTCCACATATTCGGTTGTGTGTGCAAATCATTGTAGGCAGTTAAAACAACGCCCTCTAAGAGTTGTGAGTGTTAAGGATGAAGAAATTAAGTGTTCCCGGGATTAGAAATGGCTCATTAGGAGATTTGCATGCGGAGTGTCGTATTGAGGTCGCAGCAAGTACCAACAGCATCTCGGCTTTGACTTTAAAACAAATAATAACGAAGCTATCAACAGTTGTCCAGAAATACCCTGCCCTCAAACTCACACTGGATATCATTTTAATTTATGTGGGATTTAACTACTACCTGAGCAGAGAAAAAGACGATGTGTCAGGGCAAGCCACCACCTTGTTCTCTCACCAAAGTAAGTGAGAGATAATTAAACTGTCGACTTGAGTCAAACAACAACATTTAGGCAAAATACGCTACAGATTCCGTTTCATAATTACCTGTTAGCAGCCGGAAGAGAAGTTTTTATAAATGTTAATCCGTGCTTTTCTCTGGGTCGTGGCACACACATACACACACTGTATGCTTGCTGCAGTATTCGCACATTTTAAAGACGAGCAGAGAACCTCCCACCCACCCCAGCGAGAACCAAGCCCAGGCTAATTGACGAGTGCTTCCGTTTAGGACTTTCAAAATAAAAGAGGCATGTCGTCAAAGTTAAGTTGTTCAAAAATATCTAGTTAATACAACAACAACAACAAAAACAATAATACAAAATAATAATAGCATTGTAATAATAATAATAATAATGATAATAATGATACTAATAATAATAATAATAAGAATAAATAACAGTACGAATACAATAAAAACTATTTAGTGAAATACAAATATTAAAAGTAATATTAATAACAACAAAAATAAAAAATACAAATATATTATTATTATTATTATTATTATTATAATAAAATCACAAATAAACAAGTGGTTAACTGTCTCAAATGTTTTCAATTACTTGCAAATGTGTACCACTAAAGTACAGTAGCCTATCAACTAGGTCCCTGTTTTTTACGATACACAATCTTGTGTTCTAATATTATGTCCTATGGTGCATTTACTAAATAGTAGACAAGTAGAGTAATTGGTTGTATAACTAGTATAGTATACTGAGTCCCAATAGTAATATAATGTGTGTACATAAGCCAATACTGTACACATGTTTTCAATCAACTGCCAAACTAGAGACACAGAAAGTTTCTCATTTCTCTAATTCCCCTCCTCGACTCCCCTCCTCGTGTTATAGTCACGAAATTAATTTAATCTATTGATTCGTGTTCACCAACACGATTTTTACATTTTTTTCGTGTCACAGATTTGAAAAGCAATGTATTTCTATTGGTAGTATGTTTCGTGCCTGCACCACGTCTTTTTGTCCGGTCGGGTCTTGGAAGACCAGAAGCTGTGTGGTTCATAAAAACATTTTTTTACTCAATATCTTACCCAAAGCCTAACCCTGACCCTTTTATTTTAAATTGTATAATATCTGAGTTTTTTTGCCGTCCGCGAGGAAAAGAAATGGGGCTCAGAGCCTCAGAATACTGAAATCTGTATTTTTTTTAAATAAATGTCCTTCTAATTTATTATTATTTGGTGCAGGCACGAAACATACTACCAATAGAAATACATTGCTTCTAAAATCGTTCTGTGTCAGAATACTGAAATCTGTATTTTTTTGTATCTCTTTTTCCTTCAAATTTGTTATTATTTACATTGCTTTTAAAATCGTTCTGTGTGACACGAAAAATATGCGAAAATCGTGTTGGTGAACACGAATCAACAGATTAATTTCGTGACTATAACACGAAATGCCGTGAGACTGTGTTGGTTATACTGAGTGATATATATTGTACACTGCTCTGCTTTCTGCACGGACCTCACAGCTGTTCTCACTGTACATATCGCGTCCAGGGGATGCATGCAGAGCTGTCATTGGCTCAGATAAGTCCGGCCGTGCGTCACGACTCTTTTAAACATCTCTGTTGCCGGAAATACATCCGCGGAGGACCCATCGAGTATCCTCGATATAGCTCCTCCAGAGAGCCTCCTCGATGCTCGATCCTCGGTCCTCGATGTGCATTTAGAGAAATTAGATGTCCTTCAACATGGCGCGCTGAAATCCATTTCCGGGATTCGAGGAGTCGAGGAGGGGAAATTAGAGAATTGAGAAACCTTCACAGTTGCACTGACATCATTGGTTGATTTTGTAATTGTTGGTTTTTAAAGAATATAAATAATTATTTTGCTTTGTACACTCATATTCTAACACCTTTTGTTCTCCTAAAGTGAAAGTACATTTTACACTATTATTTTGAAGATTTCTGCCTGAATTTCCGGTGTTGTTATGGTTACTTCTGAATGAATTGACGGAACTACTGCAGGCGCCAGAGTCCCCAGGTCCCTCCTCCCCTCCCCCGGCAAAGATGACATCATCCGTAGTACAAGATGACTCGTGCAACAGGAGGGTTAGACGTGGATATCTGAAAACAAATTAAAAACCCATTAAGTTCACATCTGAACAGTCAGCTGCTTCAGGCTGTGAGGTGTGTCAAATATTATTTGTTATTCAGCACAATAGTGCCTCTAAGTTAGGGTCTATATTGTGTTTTTTTTAATATTGTTTTATCTTGAAAGATAAAGATACTGTTGACATTATTTGAATACATCTACTCAATTATTGTAGTTAAGCAACATTTTGCAGTATTTGTACTCTACTTTATGCTTCTACTCCGCAAGGGAAATACTGTAACCTACTTTGGGAGTCTAGCCTGCTACATAGGGCCGTTCTCATTTCATCAAATCCCCCTCCTCGACTCCTTGGTCCTCCGGTAGTGACCCGGAAATGAATTTTAGCGCGCCATGTTGAAGGACATCTCATTTCTCTAAATGCACATCGAGGACCGAGCATCCAGCGTCGAGGAGGCTCTCTGGAGGAGCTATAACCGAGGATACACTGATGGGTCCTCCACCCTCCACGGCTCCTTCGTGGATGCATTTCCGGGAACAGAGATGTTTCAAAGAGTCGTGACGCACGGCCGGACTTATCTCAGCCAATGACAGCTCTGCATGCATCCCCTGGATATTATTTTATTAACTGCTTTCATCGCGACGCGATGTTTACAGTGAGAACAGCTGTGAGGTCCGTGCAGAAAGCAGAGCAGTGTGTATAATATATATCACTCAGTATAACAGGCCTACTCTCTTTATTTGCTTTAGTTTAATAGATATCTACAAAGAGTCGATATTTTTCGAAAACCATTTAGTGCTTCACATAATAAAATACACAACGGCTTTAGCCTGATTATATGCTTTAGGAGCTGTAGGTGCGTGTGTGTGGTGTAGGTGTGTGTGGTACAGTGTGTGCGTAGATGCAGCGGACAGACAGGTCTCAGTTGGTTTGGTGTCCTCTGCTTACTTTTAATACTTGTAAATAAAACTTTTGGCCCGTAATTTATTTTCCTCATTGTAGCGACCAGAGAGGGGGGGGGGGGGATATATCCAGTCTCTGATAGTGTTACGTTATTATGAGAGTGCTCTGTCTGATTCTGAAATTGTATATATTTATATAAATACATATATATATATATATATATATATATTTATATAAATACATATATATATATATATATATATTTATATAAATACATATATATATATATATATATTTATATAAATACATATATATATATATATATATATATATATATGTGTGTGTGTGTGTGTCCCCGCATCTGTAGCCTGATTGTCTCATTATACCGCACTGTCAATGAATTAAAAGTAAATATATAAGTCGTCATGAACACATCTGTCCATCAGACAGAGGGCTGCTGTGCCTCCTGTCATCATTAATGGACGTCTCTTTAAAATGACCGCTCAGAGGAGAGGAGTTCTCATTTCTCTAACCGCCTGCTGCTTCCCCTCCTCTCTCCTCGGTTCCCCTCCTCGGCTCCTCCGCTCGCATCTCCTGTGGGCGGATAGGAGTCGAGGAGGGGAGTCGAGGAGGGGAATTTGATGAAATGAGAACGGCCCATAGTCTGCAGTGCAGCAAAAAAGGGCACTACCAGCTGAGGTTCTTCTTCACAAAAAAAACAGTAAATATTTTACTGTTTAACAATTCCGAATAGGAACAATTGAATATTCAGTAAGTGAACTTCCTTCTTAGTCAAACTGTAATTATCAGTGACAGGCTCTCTGAACTATTGTGACTCATGGGTTTGTCACATTAAAGGTTTATTTCCATTTGAGTCACACATGGGAAAAAAATAAACAAGTTCAAAGCAAATGGGAAAAATCTGATTTTATTTTTTAAGCTGGTACATATTATCCCTCTCCCTAGGGCACATCATCTCTCTAAACAAATAGTTAATGGATAGAAACATATAAATACAACATCTGATACGGCCATACGACTTATAGCCAAAGTTGTAAATATAAGGATAATCTAAATAACATGACATAACAAAAATGGTACAAAAGAGGTATACGGTACATTTAAGGGCCTATAATGTTCCTTGACACTTCTACAAGGATCAAATTTAGTGCATTTGAAGAAAGTAAAATCTCTAAATAAGGCATATGTGTGACATTTATCACATCTTACTATACCAAGACATTTACAGAGAACAGATTTTTGACTCCTCTTAAGGATGAAAAATAAAAACGTAGTTAAATCAAACAATATGATCCTTTCTCATATATATTTTTTTACATAACACAAGTGCAACACTTTATTGTAAAGTCAAAAATAAAACAAATGTATGAGCACATTCAATGAACAGATATTACAAATCAAAGGCTAACCACAGAGCATGTGTAACCGTCTCCAAGTGCCTAAGGTGTCGTCATTCATTCATCGTTAACACAGGAAGTAAAGCAATGCAGACTCAACTGATTGAGTCCAGAGCTAAAAAAGGTCCATTCCTTTTTGTTTACTCCCTACATGCTTATTGTATGTACAGACATGAATCTAATGATATGCTTTTGTTTATCTTCTTTTTTTTTTTTTTTTTTTACAGATTACCATCCATATGCCACAACAGCATCTCTTTGGTTTCCTCACATTCTTTACTGCAATCCGGTCTACTGCAACACCCTTTAAAATATTTGATTGTGAAACTGCGGGAGCCTTTTTTTGTTCTTTTTTTTTTTTTACAAAAGGGCCATTCACGGCATGACATGAAAATGAACAATCCATTAAAAGGATTGAGTAGCGGTCCAGTCTCAAACATAAACAGGAAACAAAAACACTACATGGGTTTAATTCTCACTGGCAACCGTCACAAACAGCAGGTCTGGGAGGAAGAGTGCGACTTCTCTTATGATGTCACTGGAAATCTTTTTGTCACATGAAACGATATGGGATCCTGGGTTGGGTTGAAGTGGGTCCAGTCTGGGATGATGAAGGTGCTTTGACCCAAGTCTTCCCTTTGACAAAGGTTTTTTTTTTTTCTCCCACCGCGCTATCAGGTCCAGGGTTGAGGGAGTTTGGAGGGACTGTGGGAAGGACCCTGAAACGCCGTCCCTGTTATAGCGGTGGCTTCAACACAGTGTCATGTCTCTGTCCCCGGCCCAGCCAGTGGGATGACGAACACAGTGATGTCATCGCCTGAGCCCAGTCTTTCGTTGGGAAGCCGCCAGCCGCGCTCCTTCAGGACGCCTCGAGACCTCATCAACAGGTCCTGGGCTGCCAGGGTGTACCTGTGCCACACAGAGCGCAGGAAAACAGTCATTACTGCTGTGAAAAACACTGTAATTTAGGACAAGAACAAACACACACACTCTAAATACAGACTCATATTCAAACTGAGTTTTTTTCTTTTTTCCTTTTCAAACAAGTAAATCTTTTTTTGTTGCTTTAGCAGATATAAGCTTTATTTTTTAGCATTCAGAGAGTCTAACATCAGTTTGCAGCTACCCAGGAATATACAGTTCACAAAGCCGGTCTGTGTATGTTTGAGGACCTTGAGCTTTAGGACTGCAGTGTCATGCTGAAAGGCGTTTCTTCTATCTCCTATTGAAGGCGTCAGATAACATAACATTAACTTTTGTACAGTGGCCACTAAGAAAGTGATACATAATTAATCTGAAGGGTGACACTTTAGATGGTCAACCTATATACACACATATATACATATATATAGGTTGACTATATATGTGTTTAACTTGTCCATTGTGACACTGATCAAGACATCACTATTTGTATTAAAGGGGACCTATCATGCATATACATGAATATGTGTCCCCGGTGTTCCAGGGAACTCACCAAGTGTCAGAAAACACAACCCTCTCTATTTTCCTCCATACGCAAATCTCTAAAAAACGGGCTGCAACGGATCTGATAAAAACTGATCCAGATTTGAACACTGTCCTGACGTCAGGACAGTGGCACTACGGCTATTGGGCCAACTCCACCAATCAGGAGGAGACAGCCACGGCCATTGCCGTTCGAAAGCGCTGGAGACGCTGTAGTACATATGCCAGGCCTGTAGGTGGTGCTGTTCTCACAGAATCAGCCCTTGCAAAAACAGGGGTAAGAAAGTGAAATGAGGCATGGCTAAAATGCATGATCTGTTTGGTAATTTGAAAAAAAAAAAGTATAAATATGCCTTATATAGGTATGGTCCTACACTATATTATTATAATATAGCATGATAGGTCCACTTTAATATGCAGTATATCAACTATTAATAAAGGTTTATTACTTAGTATCATGTAACTGATAAAATGTTGTTTGTGTAGCTGTCAACTACCTTCCCTCCTCAATATAATATACAAGTGTCTTCATAGGCAAAGTAAAAATTGTAAAAAATACTGTACACTGACACATACTCAATGTACTTAAATCATCTTATCAGAATCTGATTCAGAATCAGAATTCCCTTATAAGTCCAGCAGTAGAAAATGTACAGCGCTACAGAAAAAGTGACATAGCAGGTAACAAAGGCAAGCAATAATAAAGAGTAAGCTAAGATTAAGTGTTAAATATAGAGAAAAAGCACACATTGGTAATACAATTAATATAAAAATAACTACATATAAGGACATTAAAATGCTTAATTTAAAATACTTGTTTTACAAAGTAGTTATACAGTTAAAAGGAAGTGTTAGCAAGCCAAAGCTATACCTTATATACTATATATTCTACATATTATACAATCACTAAAAGCCCAATTTGGCATGAAACCTGTGTGTTTGTCACCACCTAGTGGACATACTGAGTACTACTTTACAGGATTTATGAGACTGGGGCTTTCATGTAGATTTACGTTCACACGGCACATGACAGAATATATAGGCAGAACAAAAGCCTAATGTAAAGGATTATTTATCATACCTCATGGGATCAGAGGGGTCACAGCAGGATAAGTAGGCTGACACAGCATCTGCCACTTCCCTGTCCGTGGTGACGTCCCACAATCCATCTGTGCCCATGACTAAGACGTCGTTTGGGCCGTGTTTGTTTTCATCCATATTATAAACCTTCACCTGTGACGGAAAAAAGATTATGAATGAACAGTTTTGAATAAATAAGATATTTTTTAGTGTACAGTACTGGAAGATTAGCAAATAATAACAAAGCTTTATTTATATAGCCATTTTCATTAAGCAGGTGCAGCTCAAAGTGCTTTACAAAATAGCACACATTACAAATTAAAACAAAGAACAAGAAATTCCACTCAGATCAGATGGTAAGACCTTTTTTGGAAACATGCAGCTGCATAATATAACATTTTAACAATAAATAATAATAAAAAATGTATGCTGGCATGAAAGGGAACAAGCTCCACCACAGAATTAAAGCTGCTCCAGTTCATACAATTTTCTGGAGCGACATAAAACAAAATTAAATGAAATATTTGGATCAGTTCAAGAAATTGATGCCTGATAATATTCCTGTAATGGTGAGCTGAGAAGCGCTTGAAACAGAAATGAGAGGTGGAGAGTATTCTTAACTTCATGAAACAAAATAAGAAATGATGTGCGGAGAAGCAAGGTACAGCCAAAGAAATTATAATAAGTGCACTAGTAACTATTCTACAAATAGATTCAACTGCCTACTGTATTATAGCCCGTGCATATTGTAATTTTTATCTAATGAAAAAATAAATGAGTTCAAGAAAACCAAGATATATTTAGATATTAGCATGTCAGGGGTTATTATTATGTATTTTATTTACTGAGGGCTCCAGAGTGTTTGGTTGGTTCACATAATCAGAACAATTTAAGAACTGTATCAGGGGTTAAACATGAACTCAATCACAACTGCATATGAGATTAAACCTGTGTTGAGAAGACACAAGCTTCCCAGTACGAGAACTTATTTCAGTTTTTGGGAAATTGTATCTCGTGTTGATGACAGAAGTAGGAACTGGTTTAACAAATAACTTCACGGACTAAGAATACAAAAGGTATGAGCATGGTTGTAAAGAAAAACGTTTTCTTTTTGCGTAAAGAATAAGGTAGAGACGATATTTACGTTACAATATGGACATAAATACTGTGCAGGTTAAAAGACCACTGGGTTCCCATGCTTTGTTGATGATTGTTTTCTCTGTTCTATGTGAAACATCTTTTAAATAAAACTGGAAAAAGGTATTGCCCCACTAAACTAATCTGTTTCTTTGCCTCATAGTTGAGTCTGCAGTATGGCAGCAAAAGCACATTATGAGTCACAGCTTTGAACGGCTGACAAAGCAAAGCCCAGGGCCCAAAAGCTGCTCAAATGGATTCTAAAGGCTCTCAGGTGGCTGAAGCAGCGATGCAGAGGCGACTCCCCCGACATCGCTGATAACCAAAGCTGCTTCTGAGTCCTCACACTCACCTCAGGGACGCAGGACAGGAAGGGCTTGATGTAAATGTTGGAGTTGTAAACCTTCAGCTCATGATCTCCCAGCCCACGGGTCACTCCGTATGGTGGCCATGACACGTGCTGTGTACACCACACACACACACCACACACACACACACACCACACACACACACACACACCCACACACACAACGACACACACATCGACACACCACACACGACATCACACACAACATACACACAGCAAACACATCACACACACCACACACACCCACACACACACACACATCACACACACACACACCACACACACACACACACACACACACACACACACACACACACCACACACCAGCACACACACACACACACACACACACACACACCACACACAACACACACACACACACACACGCACACACACCACACACACACACACATCACACACACACACACACACACACACCCACACATCACACACACACACACACACACACACACACACACCACACACACACACACACACACACACACACACACACACACACACACACACCACACACACACACACACACACACACCAAAAAATGTTCTGGTTGTGAATCAGTTCTAGGAAAATCCACTTATAGGGGATTATATAGACAGACAATAATGAAAATGCTGACTTGATCTCATTTATCAAATAAATTGTAGTCAACATGTATTCTCTGTGGAGAATCTGGTATTCATGGGGTTTTACTTGCCTTCTTACCTTTTTACCCTCTCCATAATCAGGGGAATTTCAGATCATCTTCAAACTATCGTCTTATAGGCCCTGCAACAAACAACCAACAGATCTCAGATGTAGGGTAACTGAAACACATTATTCAGTCAACAATTATGATAAGTAATTCATTGTTTTATTATTCTTTTTAAATTAAATGCAAATAATACATTTGTTAAAAATAGCTTGTTGCTTGTGTGTGTTTTTCTTATCATTATAACATTGAAACTTCAAATCAAACTAATTATTTGTGGTTCATTTTTTGGTCCGAAAAATAGCAATTTGAACAAGAGGAGACTGTGAAGTCCACCGTAGACGGACCACTTTTGGACAAAATGTACTTTCCATTAAAGGCAGCTCATTGTGGAATAGCCTCCCAACTGAGATACGGGATTGTGCCATTCTCAATAGTTTTAAAGGTCAACTCAAAGAATGGTTGAGAAACAACCAGACATGCAATCACCGCTAAATGCACTTTAACACAGGGGTATCTCCTCTTGCACTTTAGGTAGCTCTTGTATCATCTCTTGCACTTAATATGTCGTTGCTGCTATAGTGTACTGCATGTGGTAAATACTTGTATATGCTGCTCTTGCTCTTTTGCATATCATGTATTTATTTGTTGCTATGTTTACAAATGTCATGTTCTTATATGTTGTATGTGAGGGACTACGGATGGAAATGAGCTCAAAGCTAAAATCCGGCATATTTACACTTGAAGCATTATTTGTCTAAAGTGTTCATTAATGTGCACTGTCCCTTTTCAAATAAACGATTAAATGAAAAAAGTCAATTTGAGCTCTGGGATTTTTACGAATGGATATACAAATTGATTCATCAATAAAAACAAAAAAAGCTACTGCTTTTGATTGATTTATATTATTTATTTACTTTATTGGGTGAATAAAGTTTGGAGCATTCTGAACACTCCAAACTCTAAAAAGTGAAACAGCTATAGGACGCCTGATACAGAGTTCATGAAAAGTGATTAACTGTCAGACATGTGATTAGAAAGGATCTCCAGGATTACCAGCCAGTCATGGTGTGGTCTCTGTAGAGCATCTTTTTGCCCAGCTCACTGTGCTGGATCCTACGCGGGAACTCAATGTGAGTGAACTCATTACCCAGGAGCTCTGGCCTCAGGAAGCCCTGGAGTGACACACACAGTTGGGCAAGGTTGAATAAACTGCAGAAAAGATGCTTTACTTAGGCCTTAAAATCCATCACAACTCAGAAGAAAAGCGATATGATTGCCTGTGTAACAGAAGACCTGCAGTATACTGCATTGTTAGGCACAGATCTGTTGTCTTTAGCAGCAAACATCATCCACCCACTCTGTGACTCATAACAGCCTACCGATGAACGTCAGATTATTTCAGCACTGTACCGGATTTCCTCCCTCGTCTTCATGTTGTCTGCTTATCATGCTCAACATAACTGTTAGCAAAACCTCATTTGACTTGATATTCATTACTTTTACAGCTTTCCATGCACTTATGCACTTACAAGATCAGTTAACCCTTTTTTAAAACAAAATCCAGGCAGTTATTGTATGTTTCTGTTGGTTAAATCATTGTAAAAATTGAAAAATATAAAAATATAGAAGTTTACCAGATACTGTAGCCGCTGTCTCTCTGACTCAGGTGTGAATTCATTTGTCATGGGAATAACTTCATTATTTCGTATGATTATGGCCCTACAGACAAAGGAGAAGGGGGAGACACAATTGAGATGGATCACACAGTATAACATTTACATTTCTTTAATTGTTTTATACTTATGATGTTATATGAGTAGTTTGGTTAGTGTTTGTAGGAGAAGCTGCAGGAACAGAAAGTGAACCCCAGGGGGCACAAGAAGCTATGACGGAGAACATTTTCCATATAAAGCTCCACACACTGTACAGTGGAGAGCCAAAGAGATTTACAGTTTATTTTCTGCAGTCTGCAGTAGAAGTTTTATCAGTTCTCTCACCTGCTATCTCCAGCATTGGCTACGTAGAGCTTCCCCATTAAATTAATGGCAGCTAAGGCACAACACCCACCAGAGATGGCATATGATGCTTTTTCCTTTTCAATTAGGTCATCCTGAAATACAAAGAGAAAATCTAAGTGAAAAGAAAAGGCCACGAAACCTCTGTGGTTTAAGAGCCCACCTTGCCTCATCACCATGAATAGCTCATTATTCATGAATATTCATCAAAACAAAACAGCCCTGCTGATGGAGAGAAACAAGGAGGCTTTGAGGAATACATTACCTGCACTGTGGGTTATTATCATCTACACAAGACAGCGGGTGCATCAGAGGAGAGTAAGACTGGATGAGACAGAGGAGATTTGGCCTATTTGCCCAAATGCAATCCTCAAGTGTTCTGTAGTTATCCAAAAACAAGAAGAGCTAAAGGTTTAAAAAGTTGTAATCTGCAGCAATGCTTGCAGCTCTGTGAGGCTGCATGATAAATTCTGAGATGCTCAGAATGACGATGGTAATTGTTTACCATGTTATCCTTCTTAGTTTAGCGTTTTAGCAACATGTCTTTCCCAATTTTATGGTTATTAATTCAAAGTTCTTGAGATGTTAATCATATTTGTATTTTGTGCCTCTCAGGTAACATGTCTCCATTCTTTAATGTTCCAAAAGCTCTTTATTTGTCTCATACTGCCTGTGCTGCAGCACCTCTTTTCACCCTCTGTCTGAAACCAGAGCCCAGTCTGCTCTGATTGGTTAGCTGGTCGGCTCTGTTGTGATTGGTCAACCTCTTAGAGGTGTCCTGCCCCTTAGCAACACGTACAATGCGTTGAAGTGCTAGCCAATAGAAGTGCAAGTGTTAAATAGTGATGTAGACCATTTACATGCACAAAAACCTATACAACACACTACATGAAAGGGAAAACCCCCAAAAGCATAAAAGGGACCCTTTAAATCATGATCAAAGTGGAGGATAATTTAATCTCCTAAAAAACAGTACTGTTGTTCTTCAAAATAAAAATGTTCATAAATACCTCTAGCAGCTAACAAAGCATTGATGTCTTGTTTTCTCACATAGTTTGTTAGTGAAACATCTGCTCACCATCTGTGAGAAGGCGGTCTCTATGACTCCCATGACCAGGCTCTCCAAGCTGACAACCTTCTCCATGTGAAAGCGTATTGACGAGTCGGTGACAGCATCGGGGTCTTCTGCATCCTGCGCCGCCCCCTTCTTTGAGTCTGCCTGGTACGGGTTGCCGTTCTTGGCCAGGCAGATAGGAGGTGCACTGGTGGGATTCTCCAGCAGGTGGCAGATTTCTCCCAAACGGTCTCTGATGAGGCGGTGAAGAAGCTTGGAGGCCATGATGGCGGCTCCAGAACCTGCATGTCCATCAAAAACGCCGAAGTAGTGCATAGGGATTCCTGTACCATCCTGGAAGAAAACATACAAATGTATAAAGTATATGTTGTGAAGAATAGATGTAGTGATAAAAATGAAATATAGAAAAAGTAAAGACCCTATCAATATGAAGGTAACATTCTTTTGATATGTTTTAATGCTAAGCAATAGGATTAGTTCATTTCAGGTGTCACTAAACCAGAGTTGCAACAACTCTAGATTAAATATTATAGGAAAGCTGGCAAAAAAAAACTTCTATGATGAATATTGCAAGATAAGATATGGAACACAAATGTGCAAAACCCATCAAGTTGAAGTAATATTGACCTACAAGGGTTCTGTGATGTTTCTTTAAATGACCAACACAAGTGATGCAGAGACTCTAATGAACTGATCCAACAGGATGCAATGAGTAATGATGGGCGTTACCATCTTTGTGTTTGCTGGCATGTTTACAAGCAGAGTTGGCGTGAGTGACTGACTAACAGATGAACACCTGCTAACTGCTCTAATGCTACACCCACATGGGGAGGGGTGCAGCAAGGGATGATGTAATTAATGTACAAAGGGAATGTGCGTGTGTTGGTTGTGGTGTGTCTGTGTGTGCGTAGAGGCATAGTCAGTGTTTCCCCTATATACAAATACCGGCAGCGCATTTTTTAAATTTTATTAAAATAATAATAAGTGGCGCCCCCTAGCTCTCGCGGAAACTATTTGTAACACTATTTGTGTTACTGTATGTTCAATCAACGTGTATTTTGCTAAATCTTGAGACATTGCCACTGTACTAGGCCTCAAGAGCCTTTCTTGTGCTGGCAGACACATGGAAACATATTGGCGGGGCGCACTTCGCACGCACACACACTAAAAATCCACGTGCTCCGCGCTCACATTTAGCTGGGCCGCGTGCCTTAGCACCGCTGCTAGGACTCCATCCTAGGGGAAACACTGATAGTACTAAAACATCTAAACCATCTGTTATCACTAGTTTAATTATGTCAAGAAAAGGAATCACTATCTGGATTGTGTGCTTAAAAAATATGTCAATGCTCAGCTTGATCTTGCACTTTAAACCCGCAACAACCAATGTTTTGGACACTTGTGGGCAGTGACAACATATAGAGATCTTTTCAGTTAATATTTTTAAGATGTAAGCAATCAGTTGCCTATTTATACATCCTGCAGATATGTTGCCTCATTATCATTGATTTAGAATCATGTTGATTGTCCATTTTTAGCTTTGATTTTGGTCCCAACCAACTACAGATTTAAGTCTTTGGCCGTTGAGCGTCAGATATTTAGATGAGTGGTATAATAAGTGAAGAATTACAAGGACTTCAATACCAAAATGATACAAAATGCACCACTGTTGTCTATCAGATAACAACAATCATGCTAATATGATTTCAATGCACTACTATTTTTATTATTGTTGATTGGAGCTGCCAGACAGTTCATCTCACACTCCTGTTCTGATGTGAAGGAGATTGTCTCTTCGCTCACCCCGTTGTCCTCCAGCAGGGAGGAGTTGCGGTTTTTGCCACTCGGCTTCTTCACAAACAGCTTCTCACAACAGCCCTGGTCCTCGTTCAGCATGCTCTTCCCCGCATTGATCACCCTGATGGAGAGAGAGCAAAGTGAGTCAGATGATTTATAGTGTTTTCTACCTCTAACCACATGAAATTATAATAGCAGCCAAAATTATGGAGAGAGTGGAAGACAGGGAAAAAATGCGGGACAGGATGCCGTCATGTCCCAGAGGGAACTTGCAGGAGGGATTAAGTGTTTTTATTATGAGCTGATTCCTGCAAAGGATAATAGCTTCGGAGTAATGCACTGTTTCATATTCTGGCAGCATCATCTAGCCTGGTATGGACTGCAGCAGTGTTCACCAGCGGGACCAATGCGGAACACACAAATAGTGGTGAAGCTGCAGAAAATCTGCTACGTAGCTCTATGAGAAATAGTATTTCAACAATGTATGCTCAAACTCTCTCAATGTAAACATTTTTTAGTGCATTATACACTTTTTTAGATTTCTGGATGTATTTTTTAAACAGAAAATTATTCAATTATTCCAGTACATTATTGAAAAAAATAATCAGGTTTTTAATAATTGCTTGACTTGTGTTTTCCTATACGGATTAAGGAGATTATGTTATGGCTATATGTTAATATACACAATGATAATCTCTTTGCACCATTTATTCATAGCACTATTAATAATCTCAGTTTTTCCTTTTCATTCGTTTTTTTAAGTAAACGGAAATGTCTGCCTGGGAAGACACACACACACAAATTTAAACCACAACAGCATGTTTTTCAAAATGGTTAGCTGTAGTGTTTGCAATCTGTACTGACTGGAGTTAAACAAACAAACATCCGCTGGTTTGCACATTAGGCAGACTTGGAAAGGCTACAGTTTGGTCCTCATGCTGGCATATTACATAACATTGTCATTTTCAATTATAGACAAAAGCCACATTAGCTGGATAATATGGCATAATGCCTATCGAGCCATTCCAGTAATTCAAGTATTGTCATTAAGATTCCCTCAGAAACTTTTACAGAGAAAGGATTAGTAATTCATCAGTTCTAGGATCTTTAAAGGAAGGGAAAAGAGAAAGAGGGTAAATATGAGGGACAAGCAGTGACAGTGGAAGAGGAAAAACTGGACAGTCACACAAAAGAGACGAAGGAAATCTGGAGTAAAAATCTCATCCAAATAAGACCTCTGACCTCTCACTTTCTGAACCGCTGAGCTGATTAAAATCACTGTGGAAAATGGTCGCTGTTTGGCCCAAAGCTCTGATATCAGCACAGCAGAAATGAGGCAAAAAATGCAACTGCTGCCCAAATCTGGATTATAAAAAGCCCTTTCACTGTCTAATCAGTTGAAAGCAGGAGACCGGCTCCACAGTGTCCTGCACTCGCTCCCTGCATCAGGACTAATGACAGAGAAGAATTTAAAGTCCCCTGCTCGTCGTCTTAACTCTCTGCCAAGGCCACAAGTTGGCACGAAATAAAGAGTATGTTTTTTTATTGGCTGTTATTGGATGCATCCACCATTAGAGTCTAGGAGTAGCTAAAAAAAGGCAAACACAATACCATTTATAAAGTTTTGTCCTATAAAGTGACTCTTCTATAAAATGGTCTCACATTGTGGCATTTAGGGTAAACATATTTTGTATAAGTTAAGTTTATATTATCGAACTAAATGTCAAATTTGTGGAATTGAAGTCCTTTGTTTACTTGCGACATAGTGACATCACTGTGTAACACTCGCGCTTCTATTGGCTAGGACTCCAACACATTAAGCTAAGGTGCAGGACATCTCTAAGCGGTTGACTAATCACAACAGAGCCAGCCAGCTAACCAATCAGATCAGACTGGTTTCAGACAGAGGGTGAACAGAGCACAGGCAGTTTGAGAAAAATAAAGCACTTTTATTTGTGCAGTAGTGACATGTAAACACGTCACAGTAGAGGCACAAAATACAAACATGAAGCTGAAAATAGGCTTAATAGGGCCCCTTTAAGAAAAGACTAGGTTGTACATGAAAGTAAATGCCTTCTGTCTACATGTTTGCAGTGTAATGAAGTTTCACCTCCACCACAGCAAAGAATCAGCTGTATTCTCTGTTTTGAAAGCAGTCACATGCACTCAATGAGCTATAATTGAACACCATGTCTGCGGCGTGGGAGGATGTGATTCAAAATCAGAAGCTCAAGCATTTCGAAATTGTGACATAACTCTTTAGCATATCTCTGTTTCGGTCATATGTTTCAATAACTTGTGACTTGAACTTTGGTAATTTTTGTAAAACAGTATATTAGGCAAGGAAAGCTCAAAAGAGGAATTGAGAGTTCCAGTGAAATCTATGATTGCAGCAGACGGGCCTTTTCTCGTCATAAATGTGATGAAAATGTCTGTGGTGTTATTAGACATCTTCTCTCAGGAAAAGAAGCCAAATTCTGTAGCAAAAAGAACGGCTGTGGTTAGAAAATGTTGCAATTCACCTCGTGTCTTATCAACCCCTGCAACTCCATAAACGCTGATGATGTTTTGTGGTTCAGTCAGACGCAAACCAATGGTTCATCTGAATGATTACACCTATAAAATAATCCTTTTCGATTTTGGGGTAGTTGATCATTTTCCATAACATTTCTTTACTTTTTGAATTATTGGCTGTTGTAGCTCTGATGTGTGGTTTTATGTGTCATGATGCTTTTTGAATAACTAGTAGTTAAAATGGATATAAAAAAACAAGAAGTCTGTACTGGTTTGAGGAGTCTGTCCTGTGGTGTGCATCTAATTAATCGACAGACACATTTAAGGGTAATAGACTGGAAAGTTTGAGAGGATTTGGGAAATTTGAATGTTTTAAAAGATGAATCGCTGGTGGCTGCTAAGCTATGTTGTATTAGGTGGAGGTGAGCAGCTAAACAAACACTGCAGGCCTGTGCAATGTCTTCTCACGTAGCATGTAAGAAGGAGTCTACTGTAGTCTGAATTCCTTTTCAGGGAGAGGAGGTTGCTCGTCATGTTTGTGAGGCACATGGTGCAATGCTGAAATAAAATTCCTATTACAGTAATCACAGCTTCTGTAGTAACTTGAAAATAGCTTAGAGCATAATGTAGATACTGCAATTAAAACATGCTGCAACTACAACATGTGTGCAAAGTTTTTCTCCATGAAATAATTCTGTTAAAAAGTCATCCATTCTCTTATATCTGTTTATTGACGTCAGGAAAGGGCTTTGAATGATTTGTCCTGTACTTTTGTGCCTAACTTCTGTTTATTCATACATTATTAATAGGATCCCAAATAGTTATTATATTATAGATACTAATGATTATGAATAATATATGAACTCATGGAAGATATTATAGTATGAGTTATTAAAATGTGTCCCCACACATGTCTGGGCTTGAATAACAGATGATATCCATGAATAGATTTCCAAAATGAGTCTCTGCATCCTCACACTCTTTTATACTATCTTAGTGCTGGGCCTAAAAGCCTGACTCCATATTCAATTGTATTAAATAGCCATTTGACAAAAGCACTTTCAGCGGCTTACCGTAAGTGCACTCACTTGTTCATGCTGACACAATGTTGTACAGTGGCATTAGAGCATCAATTAGACTCGTTATTATGAGCATCCAAAACCTGTGTGGGGCTAAAACTGCTTACGGACCTTAGGTTGACAATTACCTCGTAAATTTGAGCCTGTGTGTCTGTGAGTCAACAACAATGCTTAAAGCTTTAACTACCATACAAGGTACATCTGGATTAGTGAAAACAAACCAGAAAACTGCGCAGGCAAACACAACAACAAGACCATAAATCCTCAATGCCACTATAATAACACTAATGAAGTGATACCAAAGTGGAGAAGTTGCACAAAGTCCAACTGGACGGCATCCACCTCCACTTTTTGTTGTTGTTCCAACTCATTACAGCACCAGACAAATGCGATGATGCTGATAGATGCTCCAATAGATAAACCTAGCTTTGTAAAGAATATTAGTGAGATTTGGGTGAGGCTGCACATTTTAATCATCCCCGTTTTTATCAGCCCGTGCACATCACACTTCATTCGACACCTTTTGGTGAATCAGAATAGTGTTATCAAGGCCGTATAAACCTTGTGAGTAAATAAATCACTCACTCAATCGACCACTCAATAAACACTGCCGTACATTCATCCAAGTGTACAATCTTTACAACCTGATTACAGCAGTAATTTGGCATTAATGCTGTGGTAATTCTTGTAAATTACGTATGTTTTCAGTCACATTGCTGTGTGATTACTTTTATGTTCGTTTTTGTCCACTCACTTTGTGTTGCTTTAATGCTGATGGGTGTTGTTTTTCTAGATGTTTACACTGACAGCTGATGCATGATCAGATCAGCTGATTAGGTTGTGTAGTAAACAGCACTGCTAACGCTTTGATTACAGTTTTTTCGGCAACTTTTTAGAATGCAGACAAGAAATTATGACGGTGACCTCCCTTTATGCATTATGGCTACCTTATTTGACCTTTCTTAGTCAGCCTTCTGAGACCCATATTTGACGTCACTTCTCGTCCCCATCCCCTTGAGACTCTCTGCATGAATCATCATTTTCTTTCCCAAATCGAGGCAGGCAGGGGGTATAGCCCACATTACTGTAGGACTGGAGCTATTCAGCCCTTCACATCTCCTCATCCCTCCTCCTTTGGGAGAGTGGAATATGTGAAAGTGCTTTACCTCAGCTGGAATCGCCCCAACAGCAGATCCTGACCACAGTGTGAATGAAATGGTGCTAATCTGTTTCTAACTGTGTGAGCACTGCAGGTGTAAAGGAGTGTAAACACACCTGCAGTAAAGCAAACAGATAAGGGATGAAGTGTGTTACTTTATGTACATTCATGAATAAAAGTGAATGGTCACTAAAATACCTTTTTTTAAAAGACAAATTATGAAACATCCTGGAGTATTAAATGAAAAAATGTGAATGGTCATTGGAGACCTAGACTAAGTTGAAAACAACTGACATATAAGACCACAAGCTCAGGGGCTCTTTGTGAATGAAAAACAAATAACCTCCCACACACAGGCAAACGATTAAAAAATGGAGCTCTCAGAGGTTTTTTGGAAAGTGGAATTATCAAACAGGACGTGAATGTAAGAGAATGCACATACAGACTTGTTAGTATGAGCAGGTAGACATTTCCTGCTTTCACTTTTGTGCCCTCTGACAGTCTAGCACAAGTCTTTAACTCGCCTTGAGGAGAAGCCTGTAGTCAAATATCCTTGTTCACAAATGACACTGTATAGGGAGCGTTTTCACTAATTACACACTGCTGCAAATAGGAACTCTGAGGTAGAAACTGTACAACAGTAAAAGGCCATATTGGCCATCATCTGGCTGCTGCAGTGCTACAGCTGCTGAGGCTGCAGCAACACGGGCCTGACACTCAGGGGTAATAAACATAAGCCTAATATTTGGTGAATGTCTTTTTTAGGGACATCTCGTCAATGAACGCTACTCACTCTGCGTATCCCGACCTCCAGGGAAGCCTGCTGTCTCTCTTTAACGTGAGCACCGGCCGTGAAGCGTGCTCCGTGGAGTACTGCAGGAGCTCCGGGGTGAGGTCCAAGAAATCCGGTCGGCCGTAGGGGAAGCGCGGCGGCAGGCTGTCCGGTCCGCCGGGCTGCCCGCCACCTGGGTGATGGTTGTGGTGGTGTCCGTGCGGCATCATGCCTCCCACCAGGCTGGACATGGCGTTTTTTACCTTACTGATCATCATCGGCACCGACACCAAAGCAGCTCCAGACAGGAAATTAAACGCGATGCGATGTTACGTTTGAGAGAAAAGAACATGCACAGCCAGTGGTGAGGATCATTTCAGGAAGCGATTTTTTGTACTACCCCTCCTCGGCCCCATGTGACAGCTTTCGGGCAGGCAGACACGATGTTTTCCTCATTCCTCGCTGGCTGCGTGCAGCCTGTAATCCGGCTGATAACTCATCTCAGAAGGCAGGGCTTCACACGGGGATGTGCTGCCAGCCGTGAGCACATCACACACATCCAAAAATATCAACTACAAGAAATATGTTTAGCAGCTTTATTCACAAAGATTAGCAGATGTTTATGTGAAAGTCAGCCAAGGACATATTTAGAAAGATATATGCTACCATACATGTAGTAGATTATTCATTGGCACAATAATAAAGGGAACTCAAAAAGATTTACTTTAACACATCGAAAAAGACTATACGAATAATTTAATCAAAGCTAAAAAAACTCTTAATTATTCTGAAAAGACCCCAAAAGGAACATTATCTCTCAGATTGTTGAGTAATTGACTGTCGAATGACTGGTAAACGTCACTTTCTAATAAACCACCAACTGCGGATGTTTTAATAAATGACAAGGGTCACCATATTACATTTATTTACTCAAGTAGGTCTACATATGTAAAACTTTGAGGTAGCCTACTTGAGTATTATTATTTTTAGTTTGACATTTTACCTTTCTATACGTCCACTCGGTGGATACTAAATAAAGTAAAACTACACAATTTAATGTAATCCACAGATCTGTCACAAATGCAGCATCTGAATAGTATACTGTACTTAACACTTTAAAAAGGGTGCCTTCTTAAAAATGTACTGATTATTGTCCTGGAGAGCAAACAAACTGGAGACATGGTGGCAGATGTCTAAAACATAGTGCCTGGTTTATGTATCAGAGTACAATGATTGATCACTAGTATCTGCATCTACTTTTGAATAGGCCCAGTAAGCATATTTCACCATGTTCCCCTGACTACGAGTCAATCCGAGCACAAAGAGCTGCAGTTGGGCATTAGGCTCAGAGTCCTTGTTTTGAATGAGGAGCAGCACTAATGGTAGGGGAAGAGTGGCCTGTAAGTATGTTGCATAATCAGTTTTATCTAAGGTCACATTCCATCTTTCAGCCGACAGCACTAAAGACTGAGGCTGCAGCAGTATTGATTGTGTTTGCTTTTAGAAATCACCGTTACCAGGTAAACAAAACATCCATCGTCCCAATTCTGCTTATTCCAACCACCATCACCACCTGATGTAAGGATGTCAACTGTGCTTTTATTCTGTAAGTTTTATCATATCCTATAGGCTACTTGTTATTGAATTTTTGATGTGTGCATTAGTTCTAGTTGTATTTTTGGAAAGAGTCAATTCAAGAGTATGAGAGTATTTTGTCTTTTTTTGCTGTTTCATGCATTTTTTGTATTTGTTTATAGCTGGAAGGTACTTTTGATGTACACTACCAGTCAAATGTTTGGACACACCTTCTCATTCGAAGTTTTTTATTTAAATGTTTTCTACATTGTAGATTTATACTGAAGACATCAAAACTATAAAAGAACACATGGAATTATCTAGTAAACAGAAAAGTGTTAAAAATCCAGAATATGATTTATATTTTGCTGGCTACTGCAGAATGCTGTGGTAATGGTATCCATGCTGGTTAAGAGTGCCTTGAATTTTGAATAAATCACCAACAGTGACACCAGCAAAGCTCCCACACCATCACACTTCCTCCTCCATGCTTAGTTCACGGTGGGAACCACACATGCAGAAACCATCCGCTCACCTCCTCTGCGTCTCACAATGACACAGAGGTTGGAACTAAAAATCTCAAATTTGGACTCATCAGACCAAAGTACATAATTGTCCACTTTCTAATGTCCAATCCTTGTGTTTCTCGGCCCAAATAATTCCATTCTTCTTGTTATTCATCCTCAGTAGTGGATATTTGCAGCAATTGGACCATGAAGGCCTGATTCACGCTGTCTCCTCTGAACAGTGGATGTTGAGATTGTCTGCTACTTGAGCTCTGTGATCATTGATGTGGGCTCTAATCTGAGGTGCTTTAATTGGCAGTTTCTGAGGCTGGTGACTCTTATGTATTTATCCTCTGCAGCAGAGGTAACTCTTGCTCTTCCTTTCCCCGGGGGGGTCCTCATGAGAGCCAGTTTCATCATAGTGTTCAATGCTTTTTGCGGCTGCACTTGAGGATAAATTCAAAGTTCTTGAAATGTTCCGGATCGACTGGCCTTCAGTTCTTAAAGTGATGATGGACGGTCGTTTCTCTTCACTGAGTTGAGTCATTCTTGCCATAATATGGATTACATCAGTAGTCAAATAGGACTTTCCACTGTGCACTAACTGTTGTGCACCGACAGAAATGCTAGAGAGATGCATGTTATTTACGTTTGCTTTCTCTCATTCCAGGCTTCCTGATTATTTTCACCTGTGTCTCCTGTGCTCATCAATGTCAGCCCCGCCCCTGATTGGTCCCACCTGTGTCTAGTTACCCTGTGCTTATATTCCCCTGTCTCCCAAGTGTTCTTTGTCAGTTCGTATTGTCTCTTGCTATGGTCAGGTCTATGCTCTTTGTACTCTTGTAAAGTTTGATTCCTCACTACGTGAGCGCTTTCATTTTGTTCCTCTATTTTTGTCATCTCGGTTAGAGATTTGATAGTTACCTTTTTTGTTGTTCATTGCTGTATTTTGGAAAATAAAGTATCTTACTAATACTTTACCTCTGTCTCCCGGGTCGTGCAATTGGGTCCTACATCCTAAGTGTCTGAGTTCGTAACAGAACGAACTGACCATTATGGACCCAGCCGACCCAAGAACGCTTCACGCAGCGCTGTCAGCACAGGGCGTGAAGATCTTTCATCACGAGGAACAGCTGGGCCTAGTCAACCAGGAAATGCAAGAACTAAGAGGACGCCAGGCCGGGATTCAGGAAGCATTATCCACACAGATGCAACAACTGGCTGTCCAAATGAATCATTTTTTCACTCACCAACAGACTGCTCCTCCGGTGACGTCATCCACAACTGAGAGGTTGCCTGTCAATGCTCCAGCTGATTTCCCAAGTCAGGCTGTTTCTTCCCCTTTACGGCTGGCTCTTCCGGAGAGATTTTCCGGAGATTCTTCTAATTGCAGAGCCTTTTTGGTACAGTGCGATCTGCATTTTCAACACAACCCAGGAGCCTTTTCATCGGACCATGGTAAAGTGGCGTTTATTGTGTCTCATTTAACGGGAAGAGCTGCAGCCTGGGCTACTGCAGAATGGTCAAGAGAAACTGAACTATGTTACTCATTGACCGATTTCATAGAGACGATGAGTCGTATTTTTGACCACTCATCGCCTGCTACAGAGGCCAGCAGAAAACTTTTTCATATACGCCAGCTCAACCGCCAGGTGGTTGATTACGCCATCGAGTTTCGCACAGCAGCAGCGGACAGCGGATGGAATGTTCCGGCTCTTCGTGACGCCTTCATGACGGGACTTTCGGAACCGATAAAAGACCAGCTGGCTCCACTGGAGACACCCCGGGATCTGGAATCTCTCATCGCCGTGGCCATCCGGATCGATAACCGTCTTCGGGAAAGAGAGAGGGAGCGTCGACGCAACCGAGACGTTATTCCCAGCTCCCAGAATGCATCTTGGTGGGTCGCGCCGCCAGCCGAGGATGTCCAGCCCATGTTACCACACCGTCAGAGGATTACACTTCCGAATGACTCCGGGGAATCCATGCAGCTGGGAAGAACCAGGCTTTCTCTGGAGGAGAGGCAGCGCCGTCTACGGGAGGGTTGTTGTTTCTACTGCGGCCAGTCGGATCATCAACTCGCTTCATGCCCGGGAAAAGATCGTGCTCACCAGTCAAAAGGAGGGCGCTGGTGAGCAAGTTTCCCGCAGACTTTCCTCCTCGACCTGTTACGCAGGTAAACATTTGTATTAACAATCAAACCATTGACCAGGGTGTGTTAATAGACTCAGGGGCTGACGAAAGTCTTATGGACTGGGGCGTAGTAATCAGCTAGAAATAAAGACTGTTCCGCTATCTCATCCTATTAATGCCAGTGCCTTAGACGGCCGCTTGTTGTTCACAGTCACCCATTGCACTGAGCCCATTCAGATTACTGTGAATAAGGACCATACCGAGAGCATGCAATTCCATATTTTTGAGTCGGCTCAGCACCCGATTATTTTGGGGTTTCCATGGCTAAAGATCCACAATCCTCACATTGACTGGCGTTCAGGGAAAATTAAGGAATGGGGAGAGGATTGTATGGGCAGGTGTAAACTTTCACAACCTGTTAATGCACCAACAGACTCTCGTAAAATCATTATAGATCACCCCGACTATCCTGATCTACAGAAGGTACCTTCCTGTTACCATGATTTAAAGGAAGCCTTTAACAAATCCAAAGCCATGTCGCTACCCTCCTCACCGAGATTTTGACTGTCCCATTGATCTCTTACCGGGAGCCCCCATTCCCAAGGGGAAACTTTATTCGATTTCGAGACCTGAGAGAGCAGCAATGGACGAATACATTTCCTCTTCACTCAAATCAGGAATTATCCGTCCTTCATCTTCTCCAGCCGGAGCGGGATTTTTCTTTGTGGGAAAGAAAGACGGGTCTCTGAGACCTTGCATAGACTACAGTCCACTAAATGACATTACGGTGAAGAACCGCTATCCTCTGCCACTCATGACATCTGCCTTTGAACTACTTCAAACTGCCAAAATATTCACCAAGTTAGATTTAAGAAATGCATATCACTTGGTTAGAATAAGAAAAGGGGATGAGTGGAAGACAGGATTCAACACTCAGAGTGGTCACTATGAGTATCTAGTAATGCCCTTTGGACTATGCAATGCACCGGCTGTGTTTCAAGCTCTTGTGAATGAGGTTTTACGGGAATTTTTGAATATTTCAGTATCTGGATGATATTCTGATTTTCTCCCCAGACACTAAGTCTCATGTTAACCATGTCCGTCAGGTTTTGCAGAAACTGCTAGAGAATCAGTTATATGTCAAGGCAGAGAAGTGTGAGTTCCACACAAAAGAGGTATCCTTCTTAGGATACATAATCTCACCTAATCATATGCAAATGGATCCGGCTAAAATCAGTGCAGTATCCCAGTGGCCTACACCAGACTC